AAATAATCAATTGTTCAATTTCCTTTGAGAAATAATAAAAACAAAACAACACAATGTTTTTCTTTCTACTGTATTAATCAGAGATTTCTTTTAATTCTCAAATATATAATAAAAAAGTTTTCAATGCTAAAGTAATATTTATTTAGCTAACAAAATTTAATTATATCAGTTATGGTACTTGTCAGTAATGTCATATACACATCTATTTCTACTTATTCGTCTATGTAAATAAATAGAGAACAAAAATACCAGATATACTATTAAGGAAAACATTGAGAATATATAACTTATACTTGTTTTGGTCCTGTCATTATCTACAGACTTATTACTGTCATTCAGATATGTTGTCGAAGTCTTAATGAAATTCTGTTAGTTACATTATACGAACTATCCGTATTTCTGTTGTGCTTTTTTTTTCTTCTCTACGAGAAAATTACTGTCGACTTCTGTTGTAAACAGATAATTAACATTGAAATATTTCTAACAAAACTATCGAGTGAGTTATTTTTATATGAAAAAATATATATCAACTTCAAAAGAATAAAGGAATTAATTAACATTCCTATAGTTGATGGATAAATAGGATAAAAATTCGTAAGTATTTGATCTAATATCTAAGACAATGTGATATTATATTGTATCAAAACATAAGAATACTTATTTACGCATTGAATATATAAAAAATCTATTGGGATATACTATTTTCTTCTTCGTTATCTATATGTCTAACTTTAGATTTATTATGTAAATTAAATGTTTTTCTCAAATTTTCGATTTAATATCATATATGAAAACAAGTATTGGTATTTATTCTCTAGATAATATATAAATAATAGGAGTACTGAATAGTTTCTTTTTCTATTTTCTTATTTGTAGATCAAAGATTTAATACAACATGGCATTAGCTGGAAACACCAATTTTTTACGTAAGTTACGATTTTTTTTTATGATAATAAAAGTTTAAAATAGAATACTGTTTTATCTTACTAATTATTGACCTTTACATGTTTCTTTTAATGTATTACAGTTGGTGCTTCTCATACTAGTCATACTCGATCAACAGCAGCAGCTCGTCATCATAATTCAATACCTGAAACTCCAAATCTTCGTACATTACATCGTTTAACTTCATCTGTTCAATCATTCGAAGATACACTTTCATTAGCATCACCATGTACATCAACATCCTACCCATATTTAGAACAATTTGCAGCTAAAAATGCATCATTTTTTACTATACCAACAACAGAATATAGAGATTCAACAGCATTTACTAGTCTTGGTCGGGTAGATAATTATCGTTCAACTTCAGCTATTCTTCCATCAAATGTTACTTCTCCCGATGATACACATAATAAATCATCCGATGAAACGACAGGTTCAACATATTTATCACATGTAACAGCAACAATTCCATCAGATATAAATGAAAGAAATTTACCAATTGAAGTTCGTGTTCGTTGTATTTTTTTACGTGTTGGAGAAATAGATACACTTAATGAACGATATACAAGTGAGATCTTTTTTGAAGCATCATGGTTTGCACGTGATTATAAAATTGGATCAAAATATGAACCACAAATGGGTCATTTCAATCCACAATTGATTGTTCTTAATAATATGGGAGATTCATTAAGACATGATGTATGTATATTCTATCTATACAAATAATTTCTATATGTTATATTTAAACAGAAATGGTATTCAACTAGTAAAACAAATGAAAATGGTTTAATAGAAATAACAGAATATCATAAATTTAAAGGCGTATTTTGGGAACGTATGGAATTAAATCATTTTCCATATGATGTACAAGAATTATCAATTTCATTAACAACACCATTAACACAAAATGATATACATTTTGTTGAAAATAAAGAAAAACCATCTGGTGTTAATCGAACTGTATTTAGTGATCAACAATCATGGCATTTATATGAACATGTTGAATTTCAATTTGAACAATATCGAGAAGAATATTCAATAAATTATGATCAATTACATCCTGTTCTAGTTTGTACATGTCATGTTGGAAGAAAATGTGGTTATTATGTTTGGTAAAGATTATTTTTCCTGTTATTTAACAAAATAATAGTTTTATTTTCTAAATAGGAATGCATATTTTTTAATATTTCTTATAACTTCAGCAGCTCTTTCAACATTTTCAATACCACCATCAAATTCTCATGGTCGTTTACAGATAACATGTACTCTTTTATTAACATCGGTTACATTCAGATGGGTAGTTAATAAATCTCTTCCGTAAGTCATATGAAATTCAATAGTATCTTCTCTTATTACTGTTCTTTTCTTTTCATTTCAGAACAATATCATATTTAACAGCATTGGATAGTATGAAAAAACAAATTCTAAATAATTTATTGATCTTTTATTTTCTTTTTAGTTTATGCTATTGCATCTATAGTTGCTTTATGTATAATAAATGTGTTCCATGGCGTAATTAGTTACATATATTATAATCAAATATATTTAGCTTCATATTTAACACCAATTGCAACAAATGCGCTTCATTTATCACTTTATCCTGAATATTCTCTCTGTCGTTTAGATCGTTATGGGTTTTATGTTTTGTCATTTGCATTTTGTCTTTATCAAATTTTAATATTGCTTTGGACATTCTGGACACCTTATAAACGACGTCGAGTTATGCAACGTAAAGATGAAAAAAATCGAGAAGATTTCATAAGTAAATTTGGACAGAGTGAATCATCAAGTGGAAAAGTAAATTGAAACTATAAAGTCATGTCGTTTTTTCTTTTTCTGTCATTGTGTTTTATGTTCAATGTAAAGAAAAAAATTTATTATTTTATATGAACACCACCATCCAGGACATTTATTGCATTAACTTAACAGATAGTTATATTAATTAGAGGAAAGAATATGATACAGGTAGTCTCATATTATAATTAACCGAAGAAAAGAAAAGCAATATGCTTGATTACATTAAAGCTACGCGGAAATTATTTCATATAATAGAAAGACATAATTATAATTAGAGATGAAGTCAAGCATTGATGCTTCTAGATTGTAATTTTGCGTTTTTTTTTATAAACTAAATTATAATCATAAAAATTCTTCATTTATTTTTATTATAAATATGAGATCTTGTAAATCTTTTTTTATATATTTAATTTGAAACTTTCAATAGAGATTTATCCATAATAATTAGATCAAAGATTATAGAAAAAAACTTGAGTCAGATACATAATAATATTTTTTTTTCAAGATATTCAATAATACATACATCATGTATCACATTAAAAAAAAGAAATATATATATATATATACTGTTCGATGATAATCATTACATTGAGAAGAAAAAGAAAAAGAAAGGGAAAACGAAACAACATCATTGTATGGCATTCGTTGATAAAATTTGACAGAAAAAGAAAAAAAAAGAAAATTCAAATATTGTTCTTTCGATATGATTTGATTTCTTATTTAAGCGTTATTAATTCTATTTCAAAATATATTCAACATGCATATTAAGATAAACCATCCTAAAATTGAATTATATGAAGAAGAAAAAAAGATCTATTAAAAACATCTTACCAATAAATAATATTAAATACAATAAAGGCAACAGGAAAAAGAACTGCAGAAATAAGATCGACCTTAATTAAAAAAAAAAGAAAAGAAGATAAAATTCTAATAGTCTTTATATCTATGTTGTTTCACTCACAAATTGTGCACTGTCACGAACAGGTTTAGCAGCTATTGCTAGCTGTGCTGGTTGTGACACGACAACCTGTGGTGTCGGCTGTGAGGGTGCATTAGTATTTGACATTGATGAATAATGAACATGTGTATTAGTGGTATTTCCACTTAATTTTCTCTCAGCATTACTTGTCTTATGAACAAGTGTTTCCATTGTTTCCGCATTACTTTGATGACCGCCATCTTTTTTATAAAAATGTACTTGAGCAAGACGATTGCCAATAACCTTTAAATTATAATTTTCGAAAAATAAGACAAAAAGTAAAAAACTAAATAAGCTAACAACTATTTCAAACTAATGAATATGCATAATATAATAATGATTATAATAATAATAATAATAATAATGTGAGAATATAATTGAATATATGTATGTGTAAGTGTATAAGTGAGAAAAAATATAAGAAGAAGCTTTAAGGGGAAAAACTCTAGTAGCTAAAAAAAGAAAAAAAAATAATTGATTTACTCTCTCCGCAGCAAAAGATGAGCCATTCTGTAGTTTTTGAATTAAAGTTACTTTTGGTGGTCTGTCTGGATTTCTTTTCTATAATATATATTTCGAAATACGTATATATATATGTGTGCATGTATTTACCATGAATATCTATAAATAATAACAATATAAAACTTACTTCTTTAGAAAAACGAACTTGTTGTCTTAATTCTCCTTTACGAGCAATAACATTAACAAGTGCGTATTCTAATAAACCAGCAAATACAAAAACAAGACATGCTGACATCCATACATCGATTGCTTTTATATATGATACACGTGGCAATTGTGATCGGATACCTAAATAATAAATAAATCATATTTATTATAAGAGTTAATTATATTTCATTGATAAGGGTTTAAAGCAATAAGCGAGGTCTTCAGCCAAAAAGTTTGTTTTTTTTTCGTTGGGGAAGTTTGAATTTCCCTTTCTTGACTAAGACCATAAAATAAGCAGATAAGCATTTTGATGAACAGAAGAAGAAAGGAAGCAGTGAGCATGGTGTGAAAAGGTGTATGTTGTTGAAAATTATCTGTTTTTTTTTTGTTAACATTATATTTAGTTACCTGAGCTTTGAGTAGTAACTGTAAGAACAGTTAAAAGACCGACTGAAATTCTAGCTGGAACCTGAATATATATTGATGAGAGAAATACAAGTAGTTCTATTCGACTTATAACGACCTTACCGACTTATGATCGATCCAGAATGAAACAAAAGAAAGAATCACAATAAGCATTGATGGAATATAAACTTGAACTATAGAAATTTAATTATTTTGTCTCAAAATGATAGATGGACTAAACTCACCAAGATAATAACCAAATAAACGTTTCAAATGAAGAACAACAAGCAGGCATGTAAAACTGCCTAGAAAATTTGATCGTTTAAATTAATTAAACGAATAAGCATATAAAAAACTTTCTTCATTTGTGTACTTTGCTGCTAACTCAAATATATGTATAATAAGGTGAGTATTGCAGAAAGTGCATATAGTGAAAATTAATAAAAAGAGAAAAAAACAAACAGTGCAAGGAGAAAATGCGCGCGCGCGTGTGTATTAGCTTTCTAATCGAAATAAAGGATAAGAAAAAAAAGATAAGTTTTTTGTACCTTCAGCCTTTGTTGTGACTGTAACAATGAGGAGTAAACTCAATAATGTTCGTGCAGGATGAGATTTATAGTCGATCCAAAATGCGATAAATGATAGAGCAACAATTAATGTTGATGGTAAATAAAGCTGTTGTAAATATAAATTGATGTTGCGTTGTAAAGAGAGATGTACTTCGATACAAGCAAATGATCCTACGAGTCAGTCGAGGAAAAGAAAACTTATTACAAAAGAAAATATAGATATATGCAGCACATCATTAAAAGTAACTCAAATGAAGAAAGTTTTTTTTGTTTTGTAAATTAAATTTACAAATAATGAAAAAATTATCAAACCTGTTGCTGTTGTTCGATTACAATATTTAGCTTCATGATTACTCAATACAAAATCAGGCATTTCGAGATCTTCATTAACTCGAATGGCACTTATATTTGAAGCTTGATCCCAAAAAAATGCTAAATCGGTTGTAGCAAAACCATCTAGAAAAACAATTATTTTTGTTTATTTCTTTTTTTCGCTCAAAGAAACATACAACTGCCAATATTGACAACACATGTTTGATTATCAAGTGGGAATTTTTGTAATTTCATTTGGCAATCAAGTTTCAGTAAAAGTCTATAAATGAATAGTATTTTCAATTAAATGTAACAAAAAAAAAGCCTATATATATACCTTTGACTATAAAGGACTTTCCCATCACGATGAACACGAATTAACCGATTGGGTACGGTGATATCACTACGTTTACCTTCTTTAGCATTCCGAAAAAATGAATCAGGTACCCAAATACGATCAATAAGTGAATAATGCAATGTAATTTCTGGCGACTTTGCTGCCCAATCTGTTCCACTATAATTTAATCTTGGATCATACCATGATTGGCGAAAAATTAAATCTGTATTATAATCCTATAAAATAAACGAAAAAATTAATTGATATATAAACATTACGAATTTTTTTTTTCTTTTTTTTACCATATTAACTTCATTAATAGCCGAAATTGTATTAATATGAATCGTCATTGTCACATTACATGCTCCTACAATCGCGAAAGGTCAATAGAAATAATTATCATGCAATAAATTACTTACTACGTTGATCAAAGAATGGTCGAATACGTCTATCATAACGGCTTGAATTAATTAATGTATCAAGGAATTCTTCGACGGTATTTATTGCCGCACCACTGCGTGAATAGTGCGTGCTAAAAACAAGCGTAAATATTGTTATTAAATAAGGGAAATCACGAGATAGATGCATCGTTCTATGATAAACTGGTTTAATAATAAATTTGTTCTTGGTTCTTTTTTGTTCAAGATATGTAACATTAAATAGTAGGATATAAATAAAATATATATATAACTACCAAAAATAAAGTCTTATTTTAATAAGGATAAAACAACAGAGAATCATCCGCGCTTATCCAATTTGTAGACAATATTCAATATTGTTGATACATATTGGTACTAATGATGATGATGACATTTTAATGTAAAAGTATAAATAAATACTTAACAAACGTATGATGGTGATGATGATGAAATCTAATCTATTATTTTAGATGTTTCAGAAGTTTGTTTGATGTAGTTGCATGTTTATGTGATGAGAACTAAGTTTTTTTTTTGTGTAACTGTTTGTCTATCTTCTAGTAATTGTGATATACGAGTGTGTAATCTCAGTAAAAAGACGACACCAACGCATAGGCTGGAACCAATAGTGAGGACGGGTACAAATAATTGACAAGTGGTGAAGCAAAAAAGAGAGCGAGTGAAGAGAGACAGAAAAAAGGGGGAAGAAGGAACAGCCGGGCGAAGAAACGATGTCTTAGATTGTCGTCGGACGAGAATACTAATAGTGAAAGATCTGTCTAGGTCCTTTCTTTTTGATGAAATATTAAAAAAAAAGTAATTGAACAACAAATCAACTCTCATTTTGACACATAAAGAGAAATGTCTTACGTTTTTTCCTTTTGAAAAAAACAAAAAAAAAAGACAATTTTCTTTTTACTCAATCAATCTATCACATTCACATTATGTTTCCGATTCGACTCAAGGTCAATGAATAATCAAAATTTAGTGCTTCAAATAATCATACATTTCCTATCTATTAAATCGACTATTATATGATGCCGTCATAATTAAATATATATGTTAAAAAAAAAGAAAGAAAGAAGAATATCATGTTTAAAATTAAAGAAAGATTTTCTTTCAAATAATCAAGTCAGTCAACAGGAAATTGATAACGTGTTACCTTGTCTCTTTCAGACAAACTAATCTTCTTATTTATGAGAACTAAAAGAGTAATAAATCTCTGCACTATTCACACGTTGTCAATCTTTTTATATATTCTTTTATTATTTATTAAGTATATTCATGAAAACAACTAATATTAACTATATATATATATATATATAATGTATTCATCTCTAAGCTTTGCAATAATTCAACTTGTCGATAGTTGATTAATGTTTTTATCTATATAGACACAAGTATGAAGCTATTTAATCTTGTCATGTCTGAAGCTATTTTATTCCATGCTATTACCCATTTATATTGATATAGGAAAAAAATATATATATATATACTATGAAATAGAAAAGACAGTAGCAGAAAAATCCCTACGGCAAGGTGTTTTTTTTTTGTTATGTGGATCGAGTTGCACTTTAATGATCAAGGACAAATCATCTATATATACAGAGTTTTCTAAAACAAAAACTCATCAGATATATTTACAATATTGTGAGTGTTTGAAAAGTGGTTAATTAACTGCTTTTAAATGTTACTATAGCATACACTCGGAATCCATTAAAATATAATTTATGCCTAAGAACATTTGTTATTTTCTCTAAACTTCCGATTTCTTTTTTTTGTTTTGTTTTCCTAGTTCGATGTGATTGATAAAACATATTCAATAGAAAATCAACATTCAAGACGACAAAAAAAAAAGAACACACACCTTTCCACGGGCTCTTCATTCTTACTGATCCATAAATCTTGACAGTATACTGGTCGATAAAATAAGCAAGTGTTTAAGATAAATACAAATATAATATTGATAAGAATCATTGCTGCTATTAGTTAACATCGCCTTTCCCAACTTGATTCTAAGACATTCTACAACTACTCATTAATGTTTCTACACTACTGTTAACAACATTATTTCTTCTATTTTTCTCGCGCTCTCTCTCTCTCTCACTCTCTCTTTCATTTCTCTATCTTATACTACCGTAGTATGTTTCTTTCTTACAGTATCACATCCTTAATAAAAGAATTTTTAGACGTAGCGTGTTGATCATAGTTTTGTTTTCGCTTTCCCTCTCATTTTCTTCTCTTTATTCTCTCTTTTCTTCGCCTTTGTAGCTTTCTTTCTTTTCTATTGTACTCGAATGTCAAGCCTAAAAATCAATTTCTAACAATGCTACGCGATTCTTACCAAATAGGCAAGAAAATATAACAAACGATTACATCTCTCTCGACATTCTTATACAATGTTCGTTTTTTTCTTTCTTCATTATTTTTGACGTTTTTATATAGAGATTGTGATCAGTATATTTTACTTTGTTTAAATAGGAAAAGCAAGATGTATATATGTCAAGAGAGAGAGAGAGAGAGAAAGAGAGAGAAAGAGAAGACAAAAAACTTTGGACTCGACGTTTATGCTCTTTAATAAATGGGAAGAAGATGACGTCGACAAGAGGACGTAAATGAATGTAATAATCACCCGTAGAGGAGATTGAGAGACTCATAAACAACATCTTCTATATGATTTTCCTACTCCCCTAAGGCAAATCTATTTTATACGCCTATGCTTTCACGATGATTAGAAATAAGATAATGAATTGCACAGATTTTCGATTTCCACTGTCATGTCATAATATATATATAGATCGATGTTGTTGTTATTGTAGTTAATTGGGATAGATCAGTTAAAACAAATGAAAATATCTTCAATTCCCATTGGTTCTCTCGTTTTCTCAATTAGATTTTTGTCAGTAATCCAATTTCTATTTATTGGCGATGCTGTTGTAATCATCAAGCGGATGTCTATATTCAATGTTTATTTCTCTTGGTACTTGACGCCGTATATATCTCTCTTATTTCGAATGCTATGTTTAACATAAGAATATGTATATAGACATACTGAAGAATCATAATTGATTCAATAGTAAAAGAATGAAATACATGAATGTCAAGGATGTATACAAAATTTCTTTTACATTTGTTTGATTATGAAATAAATAGATTTGAATTTTTCAACAACAAAAAACAAAATTGAAATAAATTTTTATTGATGTTAGACCGTAAAAAAAATGCGGAAGGGGAGAGGGAGGGAGGGATCAATGTAGACTAATAACGCTCTTATGAGCACATTGAACAAAATTATAGTGTGACTTCAACGAACTGTAAGTATTTCTAGCTGTATAGTTTTCTTCCTTTGTAAAATAATGATGATGATGGTAAATCGAGATACAATTGCATGTATGTTAAACGAATAAAGCCAACCGGTTAGATTTAATTGCTACTTTGAATAATGAGGAAGAACGGATTGCCGCTATTATATTTCATGCTAGAATATCTTTTACTCTCTTATTAATGATCATCTTCCAGGGAATAAGGTAAGGAAACTAATAGATAGTGTGTGTGTTCACTGGTGTTATATATCTTGATTGCATGTAGAACATGCTTCAACCAGTAATCCTATCAATGAAAGTTTTTTTTTCTCACTTTCTCCTACTCCTACTACTCCTACTATGATGATTATTATTATTATTTTAATTTGATACCGACCTAGTACTCATACTAATTTTAACAAGCAATCGAATAATTTCACAGTACGCAGCGTATCATATAATTAAATGAAATAATCAAGTCTGAAGTTAGATTTAGATCTTAACAATGATAATTGTATAGCGAACAAAAAAAGTAGAAAAAAAATGTTTCTATTATTCTTCTGTTCTATTACGAAATGTGTTACTTGTATCAAATTCAGCATGTATCTCATGATAACATCATTGACATGATTAGTCTTCTTAGACATATCTTATCAAGCTTTTTTTTTCTCATATTAGTTCAACTAAGCTCGAATGCCCAGGGCAAAGAAAAGTCTGTGTAAAATAGATTAAATGATTGATAAGAATTTTAACTTACCGATCCGAAGATAATGAACGTCCTGGATCAATCATTTTTTTCCAGAGTTGATGATTCGGATGACCATCTTCCAAATCAGTTGCTTCAATTTGTGTTGTCGGTGGTGGTGATGGTGGTGGTGGTGGTGGTTGTTGAGCAAAACAAAAGATTTGATTATGGATCCAAAGCATAAGAATTAGTAGCAATTGTGTGAAACGCATGGCACATTACGACAAAAATACAGACTGACTATTCGTCAGCCCGGCGATCGATCATTCATCCATGTCATTGACTATTGCCATCCATCTAACGGGTGTTTATATAAGTTTATGTTTACGTATACGTGTAAGAGTTATAGAAAAAACAGATGTGGATAGAGAGAAAAAAAACGAGAAAAAAAAATAGAGGAGATCAGAAGAAAGAGGAAAGGATAGACGAGTTGGAATGATGTATCACGCACTACGTAGTGGATTTGTTATTTTTTATTTTCATTTTTGTTCATTTCCACATTTCTTTTCCCTCCGGTTTTTTCCTCTCTTTCTCTCTCACACTTTCTCTCTCTCCTTCCCTCCCTGCTTCTCTGCGTTTTTCTTCATGTGTTACGATCCATATAGTAAAAAAGAAATAATCTTCTTTCTTTTTTTTTTTTTTTTTTTTTCTATCAACGAAGTTAATGATAATGGGCGGATGGTAATGATCCATCTCTTTTCTAAATATATGTCTTCAATGCCATCAAAGTATATCTTTTCTTTTTTTTTTCTATTTCTTTTTTGTTATCGCATCAGTGGTTTTTTTATTCTTATACTTATTATTAATTGTTCACACAAAACATTTTTTTCAAATACGTTCTATATTATTCTTTATATAATAAATAAATACATGTGAGACTATATTTGTCATATAATTTCCTTTCTGAATCTTTATATAATCAATCACTCAAGGGAAATTTTTTTATTTACAAAAGTTATTCAAATAAAACCTATTGAAATAATGTTTATAAATAAAGAAGAACAAAGACAAGTTTTTTTTGTAATGAAAATTAATACAAACAATGTCATTCTAGGGTGTTATCAATAATGCCTTGAAAATAATAACAGAATCGAAAGTATAATACTTCCATGAACTATCAAGTTTTATAAAAATCTATGTCATTATTATTAATATTTAAGGGAGAGAGAGAGAAAGAAAAAAACTTAATGATAATCATAATGTCAAGTAAAACGAAAATCGACAATTTTATGACATTGATTTAGATTAAATATGATAGTAGATGTTAGATGCTTAGAAAATCATTCTTAAAAATATAACATATGAAAACTAGTAAAACATATGAGAAAAAGCAAATGTTATATAAAACATTTATGAAGTTATAACGTTGATCAATACAACAGATATATAATTTCATTTATAAGACAACGTATAAAAGGAGAATCTTTTTTCTTTTTTGTGTCTTGCCTCATCACATCTTAACGGCCAAAACCAATCGTTTGTTCCGCTTTTGATAATTGTCTGTCGCATTGAACAGGAAATCAATAGTCGTTCCTACAGATTCACAATCATTATTAGTTCATAAAAGAACATTTCTGATTGTAACAATTCAAATGATAAAAAGATTAATCAACAATCGTTTTTTTTACTATCCAACAATGAGTACTCCTTTTTGTAACATCAAATTTATGACTTTTTTTTCCTACTTATAAAAACTATCATTCAATTCAAATATAATTTACTATAGTAAATCCCTAAGGCACTGTAAGTATAAAATATATAGTTCGAGTGGACGATTGATATATATTAGAATAAATCTCCAAGTATATAATAAATAAAATATAGTATTATTGAAAAGATCATGCATTTCTTAAGTTAATTAATGACAATAATAATCGATCATAAATTTTCTAATGATAAATCAACCTTCAACATCGATTGATTATATATTATTTTCATTCAGAGAAAAAATATGTAGATTGTTGGGTAAATACTAGACTGTGATTACAAACATAGAATTTGTTTTTATTAGAAAAGATAAATTTAACTTGTCTAATAGCAAAACCTAATATGAAAAAAGGCTTTTGAATATGACTAAGTGGTTTCATATAACTTCTCGGCTATCTCAATACTATCCTAAACTTATATATTCTAAAAAGCAAGTTATTTCCGGTGCGTATAATAACATTTCTATGTTGAATATACTTATTGTGAATAGAGCAAGAATAATCTCATCCGATGTCATCTTTCATCTCCGAGCTAATGTAATATTATATTCAAATTTTTTGACTAGTTGTATTATTTTCGCGAGAAATCTGGAAGTTCGATATATGAACAAAATGAAAAAGAAGAAAAATTTTATTAGAGAAATGAACATAAAACGATAACAAATAAAAAGTGTCAAATATTATAAGATCGAAAATTTAGCTAAATAGAAAAAAAAGACAATACTGCGTTAAATATTAATTTTTTTGTAAGATTTTGAACGTCATCAACTATGAAATGTATATCATAAATTATTCATTTGTTTTTTGATCAGTTGAATTTATTATATTATCAGAATTATCCGATGTTGTATCATTATGAGTAGGTGCATGATGAGATTGTCGTCTTATTTGCATTCGATATACATATGTATCTTCAGTAGATTCAATTCGACCAGAATTTAAATCAAACGATCGACCTTTTGTTGCTGTTGCTGATGCAGATGGTGCTGGACTCCACCATGACATAAGATCTAAAAGAAATATATTTGGATTATTTTATAATACAAAAGCTAAATGAATTACTTGAAACTATTGGTAGTTGTCTTAAAAGACCATCTTGAGCAAGTAATTGTAAATTTTCATCTTGTAAATCTTTTTCAGCTTTTTCTATACCAGCTTTGATTTTTTCTGCCATATCTTCAGCATATTTTATTGATGATTCTGCTTCTTTTCCAACATTCGATATTTTTTGTAATAATATATCAAGATCTTCACGTTTTCTTATCATACCTAAACGTAAATAAAGCAATGAATCTGTTTCATCTGTTCCACCACCACTTAATGAAAATGCTGAATCATTTGTTTGTAATTGTCGTGCTAATTCGGATTGAATTATATTGATTTCATAATTGGATATTTCGTCCATATTGGTTGGATTTATATTACTTGGAATATATCGAACAGCACCAATACCAGCCCAATTTTGTATTGGAATTGATAGAAGATTTGAATATTTTGAAACAGTTGATGCAAGATTTGCACGTGCTGTCATTGTTGCAATAAGTATATCACTAAAACGTTGTATATCATCAAGAAATAATTGCATATCATTTTCATCAATAACATCAAGTAAATGTTCTAATGGTGCAAAACGAAGTGCATGTGCTGCAATTTGATTTTGTATAGGTTCATTTGGTTTTGATATTTGAAAATGAACACTTTTAAGTAATTCTAAATTTATTTTTGGATGTTGATGAGAAAGTTTATCAAATAACCAAAGATTAAGAAGATCAAGATAACCAGTTAAATTATCGATATTTTCAAGCTAAAATATTTTTAGAAACATAATTAAAAGGTATTCAAGTGATTCAGGGATTAATTTTCTATTATTGTTTATTACGTTCGAAAAATATTTCGAAATAGAGAATAGAAATAAATTAACCTTCATGAATAGTATTGTTACGCTTTTTTCATATACGTTCGATCTCGTAAAGACAGGAAAAAATATTACGATGCGGTTTTTTACAAAGTTAATTTATTGCTATTTATTGCTCCGAAACGGTGTTTAAGTATGATAATTTTCAACAACAAAAATGTTTCTCTTAGACATATTTGATTTAACGGAATGAACACATTCAATATAAAATAATAGTTTGAACGGCAGAAAGTATGAATAGAATATTTTATGTTTACATGATGAATAACTTAAATATTAAATCAACACAATCTTTTCAGGCCAAAAATAGTGAGCTTGAAATTTGGAGTTTACGGATGTCTAGTTTTCAACGAAGATCTCAGCTCAGAACTTGAACCGTCTTTTTCTGATTGCTCATATAAATACTCTTGGTTATTATGAATCGATCGATGTTTATTCAAGAAAAAAAACATTAGAATTCGTTGAAATACCACAGAATCGTAAACTACAAATTTCGAGCTCACTTTTTTTGACCATCTTTTCATTATAGAATTCATGTAGATAATCTAATTTTCTCTGATCGCAAAAACCTTGATTTGTAAGAGTACATAGACGATGATTTTAAATACGATTACATCTAATACTTTTGATCTATATCTAGTAGTTGACAAAGCGAAAATAATCTAACTGACGTCTGCTTATTTTTATCTTGGAACAAATTCATTAGAAATCTTATAAGATTACTATTTGTAATAAATACATACTTCTGCTATATTATCCGATTGAAAACGAAAAATAACAAGAGATTTTGGTAGAACATCATTAGGTGCATCTCCTGAACAAATACGTTGATATGTATATGTTTCATGATTATCTTCATCATTAATTATATGTATTGTTTTGATTTGTTTTAAACGTGTTAATAATAAATTTGCTAAATCAAACGATTGTTTCATATGATAAAAAATATTCTCATTTGAACATCGTTGACTAATTGACCATACACTTAAAAAACTAACGGATGGACTATGTAAAATAAAATCATCAAGTGGATGAGAAGATCTTTGTAATGAATTTTGTTCATCTGTTTCATTAATATCTGTTGTTGATCGAAGAAAAAACGTTAAATAAGGAAGATTTTGTATACCAAATAATTTCATTATATCCATTGTTAAACTATCACAACTTATATTTACATTATCTTTAATTGTTGATAATAAAGCTAATGAACCTAATAAATCACCTATAACATGAAGCCAAATATTATATCGTTCACAAATTTGTTTAATTTCTTTTAATTCATCACAGCGACCTAATAATGCTGAGCCTAAAAATATTTTCATTTATATTCAATTCAGTATGAAAAAAATAAACTCAGACCTGCATTTGCAATAATCATAAAAGGATAAGATACGGAATCATTTATATCACGTTTAATCAATTCTTCGAATCGATTTATATCGATCATATCTTCATGTGACGTTTTATTTGAAATATGTTCAAATTTAATATTTGATAATGAAGATGTTAGATCAATTTTTAAATTTGGATCAAAATCCATTGGAATATAAATAATTGCTTTTTTATATTGATTCGGTTTTAATGCATAACGTATAACACGTTGAAATGTTTCCGAATAATATGTTGAACAAAGAAGTGCATGTGAATGAATATGAAATAATTTTTCACACCATTGAATGATTTCATTTTGATATTTTGGTAAAACAGATGTTTTTATATGATATGGTAATGTATCGAAAAAAGCTGATAACTTAAAAGAAACAAAGAAATTTTAAGAACAAAAAAAAGAAATGTTAAATTTAACTATACCATAGCAACATCTCCAACACATTCTAAATATTTATTCCAAACAATTTGTATACATTGACGAGCTTCTTCATCTTCATGTAGAAATGAAAAACAATATGACATAAAATCATTTTTTAAACGATTATTTAATTCAATTGTTTTTTCTTCATTAAATACTATTGATGATTCATTTGTAATAATTACTTTATCATTTTGTTCAATATCAGGCTTTTCCGATGTCATTTTTTTTTGTTGTTCGAAAATCTAAAAATAATTCAAAGCAACAATGTGCATCTATATCAAAAGGATGAATTGAAATTGATATGAATATAATCAATGCCAATTGCTTAGTCAATGTACATTTATATTTGTTCTTTTCTTTCTTTTTTTGTTTCAGGTAAGCAAAAAAAAAATAAGTGAGGACGTGGCAACTGAGTGAAGAGACAAGGTGACAAACACATGTGGTGGCTACGTACTTTTCTTCATTGGAAGAAAAAAATGCCTATCGTTCATATTGAATACTGTGTCATACAATTCGTTCTAGATGCACAAACCAAAAGGAAGGAAGGAAGAAAATTATTTATTCGTAACAAAAAGAAAATAATAGTTTTATCATATAAAACAAAATAATTCATTTTTATTGATATTTTCTGAAATAGAAAAAAAATATAATAATAATAATAAATTCAAAGATTTTCTATCATATATCTTCCATTTTTATACAATTTAAGTTGAAATTGATGATACTGTTGAAGTGTTTCTCGATGACCAATACTTATAAAAGTAAGATTTCGTTCAATTAAATAATTATACATTTTTATTTCCATATTTACATCAAGTGATGATGTTATTTCATCGAGAAATATAATACTCATTCGTGAATTTTCATTCGAAGAAAGATAAAGTATTAATCGTAGAAATGATAAACGTTGTAATTCACCGGGTGATAATAAATCTTGCCATGGATATTCTGGACATATAAATACACTTGATTCAACACAATCAAGAATATGTGAAAGATCCCATTCACCAAGAAGATATTCAATTTGTGTTTGACGTGTAATCGTTATAGAATTTTGTACATTTGGATATGAAAGCTCATCATGTAGTGATTGATTTGTAAAATATGGACGTTGAGGAAGTAAAAAACTATGTGAAGTATTATAAGAAAAAGATCCATGTATATTCACTGGCCAGATTGAATGAAGAATACGAAATAGAGATGTTTTACCAACACCACTATCACCTAAAAATTTTTTCTCATGATTAATTTATAAGAAAATAAAAAATAATCTGAATTAAAACAATCTATATACTTGTCTTTTAATTCATGATAGATAGAAAGTATTATTTCTATTAGATACAATGAATTATAGTCAAGTTAAGTGTGCTCCAAATTTGGATGTGTAAGTTTTCGCGAAAAACTGTAATCATCTATTTTTGATTGCTTTAAGAGATATTCTGGACTGTGCTGAATCGACTGGTGATGCTCAAGAAAAAGCAAGCATTCAGTTACAAGCTACAACTTTTTGAGAAACTTAAAACTCGCAAACTTCAAATTTGGAGCTTACTTAACTTGATCGTGAACTATTAGCGACGAAACTATATTAACTGTTTATAACGAAGAATTATGTATCGACCAGTTATTAGTAGTATGCCTTTCGCTAAATAAGAAATCAAGTTAAGCAGCTGGGATGGTTCTATAACAAATGTAAAGAAACTTTCTATTTATAACAATTTTAGTATTCTTATAGAAAAAGATTTATAATTAATAAATTTTATATAAGACCTGTTATTAATAGACGTTGTCCTTGATGTAATGTTAAATTGAGATTATTCATAAGTAGATGTTTATTATTATTTGGAATTGAATATGAAAGATTTTTAATATTAAGAATTTCATTCTGTTGATTAGTTTGATAAGATTGTTTTTCAGCCCATGATATATCAATATTTTTCATATATTCAACAAATGTTTGTACACGATGTGTATTAGCTGCAATTATCGTTATTTTATCTGTTAAATCATTTAATTGACTAAAACGATAGATTAAATACATTGTTATAAATGATGTTTGACTTATTGTTTTAACTAATTCTTCAGATGTTAAATTATCATAGAAATGAAAAACAAATATAGCTATTGCTAATAAAAGATAACTTAATATACTTCCAATATAATCAAATAAATTAGTTGATAAACTAAGAAAAAATTCTTGAATATTTCGACGATAAAGTAATGGTGCAAGAAATTTTAAGAAATAATTATCAAATCTTGTATGTTCAAATGAACCACCATTATAAAATGCAATTGATTCATTATATGTTCGAATTTGTGTATGAAGAAAACGAAATGTACCTTCACATATATTTTGTCGAAATATTGTTCGAGATACAGCTGAAATAAATAATTTATTTATTCCAGTCCATATTATAAAATAGATTATTATAGCTAATGGACCATAATAACCAGTAATTTCCCATGTACGATATGTATAAAAAGCAATAGTAAATGGTGATATAACAACAAGAGGTATAATAACAGATAATGTTCGACATAATGCATCGGCATCTTGAGTTATACGTTGATCAGGATTATCTATAGATGGTTTTATTGTTACTAGTGGTTGAGGACGATTCGTTGATATATAATTAACTGATTCTTGATCGTTACTATCACTGTCAGTACTAAAAAAATATGAAATTTTTTTATGACGAAAACAATTCAAATGAATTCTTACGTTTGTACTGTATGATTTTCATATATTATTGAACGATCGTCATTATTTCGATTTTGATTTTGTTGTGTTGTATGTAATAAATGATAATATCGTTGTTGTGTAAAATACAGGGAATGTAAATAAAGAACAAGTCTCGTACGCCATTTCACGTAAAGTATTGAAGATAAAAGTGTTGAAAGTGATTTAAGGAATGCATTTAATATTACAAAAGCAAATGCTCGAATAACTAACCAACGAAATAATTTAAAATCACGTTCATTTGGTGATTTACCTAATTGAACATAAAATTCAGATGGAATTAAACCAACATAATAGATAACAAATTGTAAACCAGCTTCATTTAAAAGTATTAATAAAATAAGAATTAATGGATGAGAATAAATTCGTTCATTATGATTATTCACATTTACTGAAAGACGAGAAAGTGGAAGAAAAATATGAAATAAATGACCTAATCGTTTGAAGAACAAATAATTGAAACTATTTTTACTACTCATTATTATCTAAAATGATCATACACCGAAGACATTAATCCCTCTCATTCTCTCTCTATATATATACATGTAAATATTTCAAGTATTTTATTAAATGCATGAAAAGAAAGATCGAGGAGAAACATTAACCTTAATAAAAGATTTTATATATGAAATTTTCTTATCTTATCTTTGTTATTTATTTTCGATTAAGTGTATAGAATAATGATAATTTATTAAGCTTGAACATAATCCAAAAGATTTTGTTCTGTTTGGTGTCATAGCCCTGGACAGAGACAAAAGTCTAACCATTATTGATTTGATATATGATTGATACCAATCATTTTTTTTCAAATATTTATTTCATTTTCAGTAGATGTCATCATATATATATAATGTCATTTATGAAAATATCAAAGTTTATAAATCAATTTGTTTTAGATTGTATAAGATTATCTTCGAGTACATTTGCAAAAAAATTATAGTGTGCTTGCATTCTTAACATAGTTCTTAGTAGTCTGATGCATAGCTAATTTTTCAAAAGATTATTGGAATGGAATGGTTGGCTCATTTATGCTTTATTCTATAAATGACCTAGTTCGTGCAAACAATACGAAATATAAAAAAATATACAATATGTATGCGCTCAACAAATATTCTCAACCCTAGATATGAGAAACGATAATGAATAGTATTTGTTACTTCTATCCAGTATCACTGATCAAGTAGAAAGACTGAAAACAAACCGTTTCTTCTTAAAGATCTTCTTATTGAAGCTACGTGATAGAATCTATGAAGAGTTTATCAAGACTGTATCACAGGTTTAGTTTGGAAAAAGCAATATATTCTCATGCAAAAACGAAGCGAGACGATAATCAATAATTTCGGTTGAAATGTAATATTCGACAACATCATTTTTCAGAAGTTATTATGATACTCTGGTATCAAATTGCATCCTATCATAGTCTGATTTTTGTTGTACACATGAAATCGTTCTAATACAAGATGATCTTATCATTTATTAAAAAACACTTGAAATTAAATTATTATAAAAACTTATGATAATATAACATAGAAATATTTCAAAAGCACAAACGATTGTAAAAGAGAGTTTTTAGATATGAAAAGTACTGTTATTTCTACAATGAACCTCGACTTCGATGATCTTAACTAGCCAAAAGATGCTGAAAAAATGACCACGACTATTTAATTATGCAGTGAACATAAATATATATCAAAAATGAAGTCTTACTGAATACGAATAATTATTTGATCTCTAATTCACTCGCTTTATCATATAAAACTGCCTCTAGATTCATCACAAAATGATTCAAGAATTATTTGGACAAGGTTAAGCGTTTGTTTACGTCATGAAAAGTATCATGAAGAAATCAAAACTATCTTATTCTATATATCGTAGGAAAGATAACGATTTTTTTTTGACTCATACAATAAATATTATATTTCGTATGGCTAATGAGTCACATGTATAATTTCAAATAGATATATAAACTTAAAAATCTATATCTTTGGTATTCTATTGTAAAAAAGAAATCTTCATTAAATATGGATGACAGTTGGTCTCGATGTCCAGTTTGTTTTGAAGATTACTCATTATCACATCGTCCAACAACATTTCTTTGCGGTCATTCTACATGTATAGATCATACATCTGGAAAGAATCGACTTCGTGAATGTATGTAGATTCTCTTTATTTATTTATAAAAAATAATCTTTTTAAAGGTCCTATTTGTCGATATCCGTTAAATCAACAACATGAATATAATGTATCGTATAGTCTTGAAGAAGCTTCATGTTTATATCGTAGTATTAAAAATACTGCTGACTATTCAACTATTGAATTTCCATCAGAACATATTGGATCAAATCATATAAAAATAATGAATCCTGATGATATACATGCTCGTCAATTGCAAGAGAAATTTAATTATGAAATACAAAATGAACATGTCGAAGAAAGACCAACAACAATTTTGGCTTTAATCTTTGCTGTTATATCAAGTCAACAAAAAAGTCAACATATCGGACAAAAAAAGAATGTGGTCATGGTTGTTTTCTTACTACAACATCTCAATGTTGTTCATGTTCTGGTAAGAATTATTTGATAGAAGTGACAGTAAGCTTCATCTATTTGTATTCTTTAGATCGACGACCTCATTCTAAAGACAATCAATATGATAAATACTTTGATGGTTATGGATTTCGGACAGTTGGGCAACGTAATCAAGACTATTGTCCTAGTTGTAAAACAAACTGAAACTCCCATTTTGATTTGTAATAATTATTTTTAAATAAAAGTGAAATTCAAAATGTTATATTGGAAATAAATCAAATGAAGAAGCAAAAAAAAAAATTTCAGAGAGAAAAGATGACAAAAAAAAATAATTAAATCATTCGCTTAAATCGGATGTCCATCATTGTCATCCTCTATGTCTATAGATACAATTAAGTCATATGAGGGTAGGATATCCTAATGTCTTTTTTATTAAATCATATTGATTATAGTTCTTTAAACATATTTTGAATAAGCTCCTGATTGGCCTCCACCATTTCCACCTCGATTACCACTTTGATTTGTATATGATGAGCGATAAGTTGTTGAATAGGCACCTGAAAGATATATATTCCCTTGTTTATATGTTATTTAAAAGAAAAAAATATATACCTGGATAATTGTAAGTTGTTGTACGATATTGTTGTGCCGGTTCAGTTTGACTAAACTGTTGTTGAGGTGCTTGTTGATATTGATCAGAAACATTTTCATATGATGATGATTGTCGAACTTGACCTGTTTGAGGACGACGATTTGTTAAATATTTTGAATAATTCACTGGTAAATCAGTTATTTTATCAACAATTCGTACTTCACTATAAAATAGAAAAAAAATAAAAATAATCTTTTTTTTTTGTTTCTATTACCCCATAGTACTTGTTGCATTGTGCGATAGAGGATCAGCACGAAAGACACCTTCATCAATAATAATTTGTTCATGATGAGCTCTTGGTTGTTCATATTCGATAATTAAATTTTTTGGTGCTCGAATTCTAAAATTAGAATTTATTGAAATAAATATATATAAGTTTTTGTTGAATTTTATACATACATTTCCTGAGCTGGTGCTCGTTCGACAATAACTGGTCGTTCCTTAGTTTCTTGATAAGGCAACCATTTTTCATAAATAACTTGACGTGGTTTTGGTGGTGCGGGTGGAAGTCGTTCAACAATAACTTGACGTGGTGCAGCTGGTGGTGCTGGAAGAATTTTTTCAATAATTTGTGGTTGTTGTTGAACCGGTGCAGTTGGTGGACGTTCACCTAATTTTAACAAGAATAAAACAAGTTAAAATTTTTAAAACTACAATAAATATTCTTACGAATAATAAGTGGTGGAGGTGTTGGTGGAGTTGGTGGACGTTGTCGAATAACGAGTGGTGGTTGAAGAGGTGGAGCTGGTGCTTGTCGTTCCTAAATTTATACAAATAGATCTTTTATTTGTTTAAATTTAATATTTACCTTGATAATAATAGGTGCTGGTTCAGGTCCCGGTGGTGGTTCCAAAAAGCGTACATTGACCTGTTGTTTATAATGAATATTTTGATCGGATGGTTTTACAACACGTATTGGATCACTATCGGATTGAATATTTAAATTTTCCAATCGATTATCGGGTGCAATAACTATAAAATAATACATTAAAATTAGTTTAAGAAAAACAAATCTAATATGATTATGTATTTACCTTCATGAGTACGATAATCTGCACGTTGATATTGGTGACTTGGACCAGCACGAGCAAGAATTTCATTACCAAAACGTTCATCATGAATAACATTTCCTACAGCCCGTAATGTTGATGTGTCAAAATTACCGCTATAGCTTTGCGGTTGTGTTGAAGCATAGTTTGTACGTTGTTGAGATTGACTACTATAGGAAAATATTCAACTATTTAATTCAAAAAACAAAAGAGCGTAATAATAAGTCATCTATTAGAATAATTATTTAAAGCAAAAGAGAGCTGGAAATATTTCCTAGAAGTTTCCGGTCTACTTTTACCTTCCCGATGTATTACATTGTTGACAACTAAATCAAAGAAATTTGAATTTTTTTTATCTAATGAAAAAAAACTTTTTTTTTTATAGAGAAGCAATGTAAATTATAGGATAGAAAAACAAGGAATCGAGCTAAATAACTACTTACTTTGGGTTATATGTAGATGTGCTGAGAAAAATGAAAAAAAAAATTCAATAAATTATAAATCAATCACTAAGGTTCAAATAGTAAACTGAAAGAAGGGTATTTTCTATATAGAAGATTGTAACGTTTAGTTCTATGTGTGAAATGACTAGAATTGCATCAATACTTATAGCATACATATATCAAATAGTCTAATTGACTGCTTGAATATACTAATTAAAAATTTATTATGTGTAGTATTTCTACCTGAATTATTAATCAGATATCTTACCCGCCTCGTGATCCATCATTACGGTATTTATCAAGGAATGAATTACCATTACCATAACCACTGTAACCCCGATTTTGAGATGTAGACATTGGTTATATGTATATATATATTCAACAACAGTACTTTCTATCTAAAAAAGTAGTTTTTATTTTACAGATTGCTATAACAAAATGATTTTATAAGAAGCCATCAATACTACTTATGTTGGTAGAAATGTTGTGAGGATACTGAAATTCGTTGCTATTCAAATAAAGCATCGCTTTACGTATATATAGTTACTAAGCATCGCCCTCTATCATTTTTTCGGATTTGTTATTCTTTTTGTGGTATTTTGTTATGTTACTAGGCGATGAAGGAGAATGATAAGAAAAAAATTTATTCTTTTTTTTTTTTTATGCTTAACTTTTAATGAATTTGTTTTTATATGTGTTACCATATATGAAAGTAAAAAAGATCATCACCTTTTTTTTTTCTTTCTTTCTGTCAAACGACATTGTTAAAACTATTACAAGAGAGACAAAGAATAAATCTAAATAAAAAAAAAAGAGAGAAATGTTGCGCAGCAACATCTCACAGTTAGTTGTAACTAGATACAAAATATAAATTGTTGTGAGCTTGAACATGTTCTCGTCAAGACAAATATGGACAAAAAAGAAAAAGTCATTTTTAAAAGAAAAGAAAAAATAATAAAAGTTTTCATTTCAATTCAGTTTTATGAATTACTGATGTTTGTTTGACTCGGAAGACTAAAAAAGGCAGTTCTGTTAACTAAATGAACTTATTTGATTCAAGGTTTCATTTGATTATTAATAAATTAGTTAAATATAATTGAATGATATAATACAGACTCTCTGTTTACTCCAAAAACTACTCGAACAGAAATATCAGCATAAAAGATTCACGTCCGTAAAGTCTTTTACATAATTGCACTCTTCATAATTATTATTTGAAGGTTAGCATCGATAAAAATATCAAGAATTATAATCAATATTTGTCAGACAATATTTTTATTAATCATTTCATCTTGACATTGAAATATTTTACAAAATAAAAAAATAAAATTTGTTCAACTGTAATTTATTTTTCTGTTTAAAACAAGACATTCAGCTAAAAAATGAAATCAAAAAGTATGAAGATAAATAGAGAAAGTGAGATTGTTTATATTTTCGTAATTCTTATGCTTTTCCAACTACAATAGCCAATGCTAATGCCAATCCCAAAGCAACCAGAATATGAATTAAAAGAAAAATTCCTTTAATACGATCTTTTTTAGTATTATTGACCACTTCCACGGTATTAATTTGTACTGGACCGTTTCTTTGTACGTCATTCATATCAATTGAATCAGCTTTTCTTACTTCTGTTGTTTCTTGTTTATAATGAAAATCAATAAACCAGAAAATAATAAATATAATTGGTAACCAACATGACCATGCAACTAAAATACCCCATACTTTTGTAGCTTTAAAATTAAATTGTGTAAAAAACATAGCAAGAAACATTGCTACAATTGAAAGTATAAGTGCACTGATACCAACAAATCTATGTAGATAATTAAATATAAAACGATAATCAGCATCAGGTTTACAACGAAATAATGCCATTATTGGTTGAATAATAACAAAACATATAACAATTATACCAACAATTGAATGAGCAAATTCAGGTTGTTCATCTTTTTCTATCCATTTACCTTTTTCATAAACAAGTATAAGTATAAAAGCAATTATTGTTAATAACGCAGTACATGGCATTAACGCACGATGAACAGCAAACCATATTGGATGACCACATAGTTTTTTATTTGCCCATGTTTGTTTAAAGTAACGTGCAAGAATAATACCAGTAGAAACAAATAATATCCATGTAAATATCATAATAATTCCATGTGCTTTCATTAAATTTGATTGAGCAGAATCACCACTTCCATCTATATTATAAACAACTTTTGTTTGTTGATTAAGTTGAACATTTTGTGATAATGCTGTTTCTGATGCATGTTGCATCATTTGATCTAAAATATATATTTAAATAGAATAATTTTTATCAAATAAAATGTAAACATACTTGAACTATCTAAATTTCCAATAGCTATAAGTGGATAATAAGGTGTAGATTGAGAAAGTACAGAAATAGCACGTTTTCGACGTGTTGAACTAGTAAAATTTGATAAAGTAAATTCACAATAAGCTATACCATTTTCGAGTTTCTGTGTAATAATATTGAGAGTACCACCTGGATTTGCAATAGTACTTGCTAGAACTGGAGGTGTATGACCACCTGGATTAATACGACGTTCAAGTGCAACTGTATTATCGGCTAAATGCTTACAAACAAATACATGATCTTCACCCTTAATATTGAAAAAGTATAGATGTTTTTTAATATATATATATAATAATTCGTTTAATACCATCTGTTGATCAAGTGAAAGACCTAACGCAAGCCATTGTGATGTTTTAAGATTATTAATTTGCATTTTAACTGATGTCAGACCATTTGTATATGTCCAATTAATATTTACGCCTACATCACTCGTTTGAGAGACCACAGGAGTAGTTGTTGTAGGACTTGCTACAGCGCTAGATGACATTGCTGTCATGCTTGAACTTACCTATAGATGATAGAAGAAAATAAATTATAATTATAAAAAGAAAAAATATTTACAGTTGTACCATTAGAAGATATATTAGCCTAAATGAATTTAAATAAAAACAACTTTTATAGAAACAATCAAATAAAATCTACTTGTTTAGGATTTAATGTAATACTAAAACAATTAACATATATTGTACTGAATGCAGTAACAACCGTTGCTCTAAAATATAATTTCATATATATTTATAAAATACAATAAATAAAGTTTATCAACCTGATAATAGTATTTGGATCGGTAATAGTTGCTGGTGGATACCAAAGAGCTTCTACTGATAATTTATTATCATTTGAAATATGAGTTATACCAGTATTCGCTACACTATTACAATTAACTACTCTCGTAGTTGGACTCACAACAACCCAAGTTCCAATAACCTGACTACTTGTCTGTGTTTTCGCTACTAACAGAACACCTTCAAATACATCAGTACTCGTTGAACCATTAACAGTAACTACAAGAAGTATTATGTTAATTAAGGACTTTATCAAGAATATACACTTACTATGAATGACATCATTTGTACTATATTGTGATTTATCAGATTTAAGCGTAAATTTTGATGAACATGTTTGTGAAGAAACGCCATGGCCAGGGGTCATTGTACCACAAATAGTATCTGGAGCACCAGTTGGATAGTTATATCCATATTTAATATAAATTGTAAAGAAAAAAAATAATCGATAAATAGACGATTTCATCTAAAAAAGAAAAAATCATTAAATATTCATTCCTTTTCTTCTTATTTATTATAACAGCATGATGAAAAAACATCATATTTTATTTATCCTAATATATTCACAAAAAATTCATATATTTTATAATATATAACCTATAATATTATATAGTTCTGCAAGTACAAAAATAATGAAAATAAAATATTACGTACAGTATACTTTTGAATTATTTTCTCATCAACGGCAAAGATATTTTAATCAAACGAGATATTCAGATAAAACCTTAGACCTACTTTTGTAAAATATATAATATATCAGCCATACACAAAATACTAATTCCTTAAAAATTGTTGAGGTTCGACGTACTAAAAAACATCTTACATAGAATAAATATATACTTAGGGTGTTACTTTTGGATCATTTATAAAATCATTTATAATCCAGCAATATATACTTCTCTCTTTTTGCAATTTTTTTCTTTCTTTCTTTATGTACGTTTCGTCCTAAACAAGGTTGTATGCATCAATACTGCAAATTATCATGCTTGAATATACACCCACCTATTTCTATGACTAAAATTACTGCATACTTTTATCGTATGTCATACATGTTTCTATCAATAGATCGTCCTAAAAAAACCTACTCATACGGAATTCTCTTGTGACGTACAAACACAAATGTATTTTTGACTATTTTGTACAAGAACAGCTCTTATCTCAATGAATCTAACGATTGTCAAACTACTAAATGTAACTACTCTGTTAGTTTTTCTTACCTGAATAAACGTGTAATGGAAATGAAATACATAATAAGTAACCAATGAGAAATGGTTTTTAACGATCACCTCATGTATATAGGTGGTTTTTGTGAAACAACAATTAAGAAAAACAAAAGTCATTACAATATTACTTGACTGACATATTTTTTGAGAAAAAGACCTCAGTCGAGGTAAAAAGAACAGAATATATAAAATAAGGATGTTAAAATGAGTTTATTTACACGTTCGATCATACAACATTTTATAAACAGAATTTTAATTATATTTATCAAAATGATCATCAATTAAAAGATGCTAAATGTCCATTAGAGTTATTAAGAGAAATAATCAGATTTTTGTATCAATTCATAGATAAAATGTTGATTTATACTAATGGACTGTAAAGTAATCGTGAAAAATTTCATAAGTAAAAACAATTTACATTAGCGTAAAAGAACTCATTTTCTCAACAGCTGCAATTCAGTAATTCTTGAGATAATAGTATTTTTTATTCAGAAAAAAAAAATAAGTCTTCGCTTGAAAGACAGAAAACTCTTCAAAACTATTAGAAAATAAATTTCTCTATAATGAATTTTACAGTAATTCAAACTTCTTTTTTTCCCCTACTGATTAAATAACATATGGACCATGATATTCATGCAATAAATTATTAAAACTATTCTCACTTTAAAAAGTAACACTAACTGTTAATTATATTAAACAATAAAATATTTTTTATTTATAATTAAATTTTTTTAGATATTATTGACCGACGAACAACAATTGGTAAATAATGATTAATACGCAAAAGAACTCAAAATAAAAGATTGTATGCATACTTCAAGCTAACCCTATAAAGCGAAAGTTAAATATACATATGTTTAATAATGACAATCACGTCAATATTTTCTAAATAAATGCTAATAATATTCATATTATAATAAAAGCAAGTTTTTATTAAATTTTTATTTTAACTTCAAGTTCGATTTCATTCCATCCTATTATTCGGTATCATACCAATCACGAAATAATGCTCACAACTCCATCTAATCAATGGTTAGACGATGATTGTTCTTATTTTCTTTCGAATATTCATAATACTAATAACAATTCATTAAAACCAACAGCATTAACACGATTCAAAACGAAAACTACTCATGATAATTCTACTCGAATGAAACATAGAAAATATTCGGATTCAACTTTACATCCTATATCGACTAATATAAATGAAACATTTCCACAAAAACAAACTGAACTTCAATCACATTTAACGAACAGTCCATATGATGAAAAAATATGGTCATATAATGCGAATATGAAACAAAGACTATCATTGAAAATTTGGTTACCTACACCATGTCTTGATAATGATGATGGAAATATTAATCAGACGGAAACATCAGAAGTTGATACTAATGAAAAAAATTCTGAATCAGTTTCTTCTATTAAAAATCATCGATCAATAGCAACTGAATCAATTATGAATATTAAATCAAAAATTTTGGATAATTTATACGCAAAACCTGTTACCATATCACACGCTGATCATAACATAGATCCATCAGATAAACAATCACGTTCCAATGAACATACTACAATTGTTAAATTCGATGACAATGGACGAATTAATAACATTCAACATACACGTACTCCTCGTCAATCAATATCGAAAATAAATGAACGACCAACATCAGTAAAAACTCTACCTATGACTACAAAATCCATTAATTTAAATTATGAAATAAGACCTACAACAACTTATAATAATTCATCAAGAACCAATCCGTTTATACAGAAAAAAACGAATTCAGCTTTCACAAATGGTATTTATTTAAGATCATAATTTTACTTATGTATCTCTATCTTTTTTCTTGTTAGATAATTTATACCAAGTTCGATTACCTCTTGTACTTGGTTCAGCAACGTTGGGTCCATCGAATTATCAAACGATTCCAGTGAAACAACTTCTTAACACACCACAAACATATTCAACAAATACTAAATCTTCTGAACGTTGTTTAACTTCTCATCGTCAAATACGTACTTTATGTCTGGCGAATCAATATCAATCAAACTCATCTATATGGCCACCTACTCGTTCATTAAATTTTACTGAAAAGAAAACGAATGATACATTGAATTCTTTACAACGTACGAAGACACTCGATGTTATCTCAAATATTTCGAAGGTAACCAAACTGCCATCATATACACTCATTCAATCAAATATTCCAGCATCTACATCCCATAGAATATCTGAATAAATACCTTGGCTAATTTCGAAACGATCGATATATAAACATTAAATATTTTTGTTTTACAGATAATAATCAACTTGTACTTAAATATATTTTTTTTATTATCAATCTTTGAGATATTTCAGATGATTTATTAGATCCGTTTTGTTTCTTTTTCGATACATACACACAAACACATACATAGACAAGTAGAATCGAAGACATATATACACAGACCAAGTAAAAACCTGTACATATTTGATATCTAATTTAGATCCGAAACTGAGAAAATAAATGAACAAGTGAAGGAAAGAGAGAGAGAGAAAGATAAAGAGAAACAAAGAAAAACCCTGAGTAAACATGAACAAAAAAACGATTAAGAGTTTAAATGTTTTAATTAAGAATATCAATCATATCAAGTAAAGTAGATACATTAAGACGATTACAAACAGGTGATTGACATCGAATTGTATTTTCAATACCACCATAATAACTAAATATATTAATACCATTAGTTTGATTCATAAGCATACGTTCAATACGTTCATCACTTGGTATAAGATCATCAAATGTATCTTGATATGGATGATTTGCATGTGGAAGATCATCTTCTGGATGAGAACATGTATTTTTTGAAGTTGGTGTTGGAAGAACTACAGGTTCTTCTTGTTTAATATTGTTTGTAGTCATTCTTGTGAAATCATCACTTGATAAAACACGACATATTTGATTACTATTATGATGAACAAGACCTAAAGCACGACGACGTTGTGTAGAAATTGGTGTATTAAATTTATTTTTATTAAAACGAATTGGTGTTGTCGATGCTTCTGAACATGTTTGTAAATCATTCATACTTGTTGTATTAACAAATTTTAAATGTTTATTATTATTTGAATATGAAGCTAAATCATTTAATGTTGCTGATGATAACATACCATTACGCACTAAAAATTAATTTCAATTAGTTTAACATGTTTTTCATGTCAAAATTATATTAAATCAGAAAATAAAATCTACCGAATTCATCCTATAGGCAACAACTGTGTTTTGGATAATGAGTCTATGATACCAAATCAATTGATCTTCAAGATGGGACGACTTCCAAATCAGACAGCTCCCATGTCATTTCGTTGCCAACTTAGATGGGTATCAAATGACATGGTTAGCAACTCAGATGGATAGGTGTGAGTAGGTTGTGAGATGATAGACACCCAGACCCAGACCCTCAAGATGGTGGGAAATTTCTCTGGCAATTTTTTTCGGCGAAATTCATCGTCGGTGAAAGTGGAATTTACCGTTTGAAGATATAAGAGATTGAAAGAAAATAAAAAGCCATTTAGAAAAGATTTTTTTATTGACTCTAACTCATAAGTAAATAATGTTGGTTGTTCAGGAGAACAGATTGTCTATAGCCTGGGAGAATTACATTCTTCGAATTTCATCGTTTACCGATAGAAAAATGATGTGCTGAATAATCTAATAGATATGTATATTTTATCCGTAGCTTCTACTTCCTATTCGGACTAACAATTTTAAGTAAACTAGCTTAATAGCTATTATCCAATGTAAAAAAACGATTTTGTCTTTTCTATTACTTCCTCGTTTGCTGAATGACTAATATGTATATTTGACCAATAATAATTTTTAATAACTCACATGGTGTACGTAGTGGATTACGAAGTGGCGTTTTAAATAGAGGAAAATCACAGCCATTCTCTTTGGCTCTTGTTGCTGTCGTCGTCGTCATTCTCTTAATATATTATATTAAATAACACGTAATCTAGAAGAATAAAACATTAATCTCACACAATTACATTTTGGCTTTTTTTCCCTCTGTATAATCTTTTATATATACTTAATTATTTTCAAGATAGAAGTTAAAAAATTGTATTTATCCACAAGATACTTTAGTTCGTATACACATATCAAATAAACTGAATAGAGAAAATATAAGCGCAGGATAACAGTCTATCTGACGAAATATACAAACACAATATATTTCAGTTTTTTCTTTCTTTCATTGGACGAAATACACTGTCGTTAACTTGTACAAGAGGCATAATCAAGTATAGATAAGCACACACATGAAAAAGAAGAAGAAGAGAAAAAAAAGCTATGTTTAGTTTTTTATGATAATAAATCTATTGATTCATTGGATCTGGTTGTGGTGAAGGACCAGTTGCATTCGCATCTTGCGTTGTTGGAACTGTTCCTGCTTGCCCTTCAATTGCATTTGGTGCATTAATACCTTCACCGGGTGGATCATATGAAATATTAAACATTTCTCGAACTTCTGTTGATGATTTACCACGAACCATATTAGCAATTGTTTTACAGCCCACAGCAAGTAATGTTTTTATTCCTAAATAATTTGCTGCCTATGAATAAATAAAATATTATTATCATTTTTTCCGAAAAAGGATTTATTTAAAAACTTACCATAATTATATCAAATAATGTACCTTCTGGTACTGTAAATTGTTTAATAAAATTTAAATCCCATTCGCAAATATCATCCGAACTAAACAGATTATTATAATTCCTTTTGTTTTTGTGATTGCTGAAAAGAAAAGGTATTTTACCGTTTTGGTTCATAAATATCTTTATTCGGGTCATCATCATCATCTTCATCGATTGGTTCTGGTTTTTGATCATTTTTATGATGATTACAAAAGTCAACAATCTAGAATTAAATCAATTGAAATAAACAAAAACAAAATTCGTTTTAAACAACTAACTGGGCCAAGAATTGATGCTTTAACGTTAGGTAAAGGAATTGGTACATCACCAACATCCATTACTAAAATGAACATTATTACATAAAATCTTTGCATAAATACGGGGATTTTGACTTACAATCAGATAAAGTTTTAATGGTTGATGATTGTTCTACAACGCCTTGATCAACTTCAAATATTTGTCCATCGTTAGATTGAATCTTAATCATTTTGCCTGTTGCAGTTTCTGTATTACCAGTTGTTGTATTCGATGCTTCGGCGGTAGTAGCCATTTTTTTTCGCCGATCTGAAATATTATAAAACACGGTAGAAATTATTTCTTCATAAACTTGTTTTTTCTCTTATCAAAAAAAAAAGGAAAAAAAACTTGTGTATGCAGAATCATGGACGTACCTGTACCTTGTGAAAATGAAAACAAATCGAGAATAAAGAAGAAACCCTTTGGAAGGTTGAGTCAACAAAATGTGAATGAGTCAAAACAGATGAAAATTATGAGACAAATTAATAAGTATTTATATGATATGATATGATATGAAATTTTAAAAAACAAAGCGTATATTATGACCGTACGAGCGAAGCAGCCGAAAGAATCTTATGACCATATTAGCTGTTGCATGCCTTTCTTTCTTTCTATCAGTCAATAACAATTAAGGTACAAATAAATACGTTGGAAATTTTTTTGAATATTTCAATTTTCGATGATTGGATAGATGAAAATAGAAATTATAATTTGACAAACTTTTTCCCAGAGACGTTGTAACGTTACGATATGCTCAGAATTTAGTAAATATATCAAATTGTTTTGTTTTTTCAATAATAGATGGCGCTAGAATACGTATATTGCTACCATAACTTGACACGTGATCAGACGCCCAAGACAAAGATAGACGGAAATTTTAACGATTGCAGACGGCGATCGGTTAATCGATCAACTTATACCTATAATTCAAATTAGACTTGTAAACCGTCGAAGTGCTCGTCAGCATCGATAGTTCAGGCAATTCTATCCGCTGACTAACCGGTATCTGTTCTTAGGTTTAATGCTCTCAAAGAGTATAACTGACTAAATATTTATATACAGATGCTGTATATGGCTACGTAAATGTCCGAGAAGATATAATATGTTTTACGATACGATTCAAACTCCCGATGTTAGCATTTAAATATGCTCAACATTACCCTATTTATCTCTGTAATTACGATTCTCTTTCGCAATAACCTTTATATTGAGTCACAGGTCGAAAATATGACGTAAAATTTTGCAATATGGACGGAACCTTGCAAGAATCTGACAGAAAATCATTGTCTCAGAAATCTTACATCTGATCAAATATATATCAATTTTCATACAAAAATTTTACCACTAAAAAACTGAAGTGTGAGTTTGCATGCATCTCCTAGCATCTTTAGTGCTATAAAGATGATTTGATACATGTGTACACAATAAAAAAACACAAAAGTCTCCAAAATCTTTTAAATATATACCTGTTTGTAGATATTTTTGCGCTGATCATTTTGGTGAAAACGTTTTCCAATTTCATCAAATAATTATCGTACTAAAGTGAAAATACTAAATATTCTAAAACTACTGTGAAGCCGTTTAGCAACCCGATACTCTTTAGTATTTTGATCACAATATCGTCATTTGTTAATGAAATTAGAAAAAAATTTTACCAAAATGATCAGCGCCAAAAAACCCTACAAAATAGTATATATCTAAAAGAGTTTGGAGGCTTTTGTGTTTTTTTGATTGTGTACATATATATCGATGATTTTTATTCATATTTGTGGAGAAAACGTGACTTGTTGGATTGTTTCTTAATGACTCATCCTTAATATTTGTTGGTTTTTACCTTTTCTATGTGTGCGCATATCTCATACGTATATGGATGTATCCTTTCTTATCATAAACATTTCATACATTATATCTAGCATAAAATAGACAAAAAAATATCCAGGTTCTCCTAACTCATTTACATATGGATCCCGCTAGACCCAGAATATCGTTAGAAGGTTAAATTGGTTAATTCAATATCTAAATGACATTGCTGATATATATTGATAAGATTGAACTTTCTATTGAAGGTTATAGGAACTAGATCAGACAATTACTTTAAACAAGGCTAATAAAACTTATGTTTTCAATAAATTCCCCAAACTCTTGCTCTCTATTGTGTAAATACACAATGTACAAACATGAATGTTTTATCGGTTACTACTTCGCTAGATTTAATATTGATTATAAATACCCTGGAACTTGTCTATAATATTATAAAACTGTAAAGTCTACAAAGTTTTTCATTAAATAGTTAATTCACTTTACTCTCTTTTCCATGAATCAAATATACATAATATTTAATCGACGACATAGGAAAACAACAGACATACAATAAAATATTCATTCACTATCTTACAAATAGTATGCAAAACATCAAATAAATTTCTCTCTTGTCTTTCTCTTATATTCATCAACAAACGGACAAATATACAAAAAAAAAATAAAATAAAATAGATAGGAATGCATATAAATGTTTAGATGCAGAAGAAATTGTATCAAATTTATATTGAACAAAAAAATAAATATGTCATGATACTTCAGCATTAAAACGTCGATGAATAGATACGGGAGTTTTAGGTACACCATAATTAATTGATAAACCAAGTAAATCATCTTGATGACTTCGAATCAAACATGGTTCTGATTGTGAACGTTGTACACGTGGAAATATAAATTCAAATTTTGATAATACATCATCAATCTTATTTATAGAGAAAAAAACACATAGAAGTCAATATACATGACAAAACTAAAATAAGACACTTACCTCAGGCGCAAAATCTGGTCGTAGTTCACGATTATATTCTGTACATTGACGAATTAGATCAAGAATAGCTTCAGGTGTATCATCACGACATTCGTCTACTTTTATTTTTAGTCGTCCTTTTCCAACAAGCCACATAATCTATAAGATAAAATATTATCATTTCAAAACACATCTCATGCCAAGAATCGAGTCTATTTTGTACGATAACTAACCTGTTCTTTATTATTAATTGGTGCATGAGGTAATTTTCCACTAAACATTTCAAATAATACACAACCATATGCATATACATCAGAACTAGTTGAGTAACAATTGGGATCTTTTTGTTGAATAACTTCCGGTGCCTAAAGAAAAGAAACTTTTTAATGGAATATTATATTTTGAATTAGAAATATTTACCATCCATAGAACTGATCCTGTTGGTTGAAATTGTTGATTAACACCTTCGGCTACGACAGTTTTAACAGCTGCTAAACCAAAATCACCAATTTTTACACGCCAACAAACGGCAACATCATCAGGTTCAGCACACATATCCAAAAAGACATTACTAGATTTGAGATCACGATGAATTATCTCTCGATCATGTAAATATCTTTAGAATAAAAATGAATTTCTATGTCTATTTCGTATTAAATCAATCAAACTTACGACATTCCTTGACATGTTTGTCGAGCAATATCAATTAATTGATTAATTTTCCAATGACGATCAAGTATATGAATATGTTTATATAATGTTGAACCCTTATAGAAATAAATATCATATTAAATATATTTCCAAAATTCTATCTATTATTCTTACATCACACCATTGGGTTACAATAGCAAAACGAGGTGAAACAATATATCCATAAAAATTTAATGTATTTTGATGTGTAATTTTTCTATAATATAAAGAGAAGATTTTCGGTTAACAACATATATATATATAAGACATACTTTAATGCAAAAACTTCATTTCGAAATGCTTGAAATTGAGTTGGTGTGGGTGAAACAAAATTTAATTCTTTTAAGGCAACACAACCTATTCATTCATACGATATACATATATATTTTTCTAATTCTTATTTCTACATACCATGTAATCGCACTTGTGCTTTATATACAGTACCATAAGTACCTTTACCGACCATTCGTCCATGATCGAGTAAATCTTCTGATCGAATTTTCCATTCACTAACATATTTCTTGAAAAGAAATATTTTAGTTAAATGATCAATTAAAATATGCACTTACAGGTGATGATTTTTTTGTTTCACTAATATCATCATTATGAGGTTTAATCATACTAGGTCGAAGACTTTCTGGACTTATTATAGTAGAACCATTAGTAGCTATGATTAAATAAAAATAAAAATTTTAGAATTATTTAATCAAAAGAAAATATATGATGTGAGTGGTAATTTAAGGAGAAGAAGATGAAAATCATAAAGAAGGTAATTAAATAATGTGTTTAATCAAATAAATCAGTGTAATGATTATTCTAAACTATAGAAAATCTTACTCAGTAATAACTGAGGAATGTGATGTATAGGTGAGACGGCTGATGGTAATGAAGCTGATATAACTGTTGATAATGGTTGATAGAGTGAATTCGACGATGGTGATAACGATATATTCATCGTCGATTGAATAGCATTGGGAAAAGAGCCAACATTTCTTGTTGGTATTGGTATTGATGGTGGCGGTGAAAGACTTTGTGAATCATGACTAATATCTTTTCGTGGATCTGTCAAGGTAGAAATGAATTTATTGCAGAGGGAAAGGAAAATAGAATAAGTGAAATGAAAATAAAATAAACTATATACGCCATCACTAAAAATTCGGTGTCATATTTTTTTAAACAAAGCAAAAGGCAAAATTAAACTTATAAATTATTTTCTGATCTACCTACGCCGCATATGCAGTAACATCTGCAGAAACGGTCAAATATGGAATATAGACAGATAGAAAACACAAATATTTAGAGAATAGAAAAAAGATATAACTTCTTACCAACTCCTTGATTTGTATTGATACTGGGTCTCTGAAAATTAAATAAATAATTTTTTTCATAAGATAATCTAAACTACATACTGGTAATGGAATTCGAGGTAAACTACGTGATTGTTCTTTACTTCGACTTTGACCATTTGTTCGATCCATATTAAAACGATCGGGACCAAGATGTTTAATATGTCTATTAATATTCAATAGATTAAGATTCTTTTAAATTTATCAAAATCTACACAACACATACTGAAGTATAGGATGTGAACATACAGGTGCTTTTGTACAACAATTATTATGATAACTATTACCACATGAAACACAACGTTTATGAGATTCACGAATACGACGCTGACAAACAACACAACGAACACCCATTAGTACAAAACGAGGTGTTGAAACATTTTCCTATATTTATATACATATATGTACAACAAAAAGCTTTGACAAATATTAAAAGCAGACATTTAACAAAACAAAGAAATATATACCGATAAAAATCTCTTCGGACAATAGTACAGATATGTGATTTATCTATACATCGAGTATGTATACGAGAACCGCATACAAGACATCGTAGTCCTTGTAGTAAGATTTTATGACATACATCACAATAAGTTAAAGTAAAAAATCTTTTTCGTATCTAAGTAAAAGAAAAATCTTCTTAATTTGATAAATTAATACAATGGGAATAGTTTGCTTAATATCTCTTTTAAAAACAAATACTAAACGAAGATCTATTATCTTTAGATATAACATCAAGATTGAATATCGAAAAAAAACTTATACTTACAAATGAATGATCAAGTTTTGGTTTTTCTGCAAGTTCAATTTCTGTTTCACGTAAACGATCAAGTGTAATATCCCATGGACATGGTTGTCTTTAGAAAATAAATCATAATATTCGAAAAAGAATGAATAAAATTTTTCATATAGATACCTTGAAATCATATAGATTGGTGTATAAGCTCTTATATTAGTTACTGAATGTCTTGAAGCACGTGATTCTAGTGCTGCAGCAAGTGTTTCATCATTTCGTGGAGCAAGCTAAAAAGTAAGATAAATGAAAAATAAACTAATGATCTATTTTAAATAGCTTACAGCAGTTGTATGTTTATTTGGAAAATGAACACGTATAAAATTACTTGGTGTCATAGTTGGACTACGAGGTCGTTGAGCAGTATGATGATCATTTGTTGTTGTTGTTGTTGAATATTCATTTACATAGTTATCTTTTGTACCTGAATGTGTTGATGATGATGTCGATGGTGTATGTTGATGATGAGGTTTTTCAGATGGAGATGAACGATTTGAATGAGATATTACTGGAGAATATTGTAATTGTTGTTGAAATTGAGTATTTTCAGATGAAACATCATTAAATGATGATGAATAGGGAACGGTTGTTTCAATATTTTGATCTTGAAGTTCATGAAGAAATTCTGTTAACGTATCTCGTGCTTTTGTTAATGTTTCGATACGATCTGTTAAACGTTGAAATTCCTAAATAGAAAATAGATTATTTTATCTTACAATTCAAACCAATCTCTTTAGTTTTTCATATTTCGAGGAGTATACTCTGAGTAAAAGCATGACATGACCTATTCTTAATTATCAATTAACCTTGAATATGACATGAAGTTCACAGACGATGTACTTTCATAGGAAATAAGACTGACATCTATCTCAAGGTAAATAATATTAAAAATCTAGTCTGTTTTTACATATATTTATCCAAAAACATTGAGATATTAATGAATAAAACCCATACGAATGCAAAGTAAAAGAAAAAATAGCAACATATGAAGTTTTTGATTGTAAATCTTTACGTACTTGCATATAAAATGAAGGTCGTGTTTCACGAAATGCTAAATTATAATTAGTAACATCGGTTGTTAGATATTTGAGAAGTTTTAAAAAATCATCGAGGGTTTGTTGACATTTTTCGGGATCTCGTGTAAGTTTTGTTTCTTCGATTTTATCAAGTATTTTTTTATGAAAAGTATCTTCGAGACTTGTTGTTTCATGCAGCTGATTGTAAGAATCCATTGGAATCGTGCTACTATTGCTGCTTACAACACGATTGGTTTGAAGAACCATAGCCATGAAAACAGAACTCACTAGAATTAGAATTATTTTTAGATATAAAATTTAAATTATATATTTTACCGTTCTATAAAAAGTTTCATTCATTATGTCATTTGTATATATATATATCTATAATAGGAGAAAAATATCATACGAACAGATGTTCAAAAGATAAAAAAACAGGTCAAACATTATATTATTAGAGTTTTATCTACTGTATGTATTTGTTTTCATTTATGATAGAATATGGGCATGCATGTGTGAAAAAGAATGAAACTATAGAATATAATTTTATCAAGTAAATTCCGTGAATATCCTTGTAGTATATTTTTAAAAGAAAAGAGGAAAAAAAAGAAAACAAATATCTATGACGTATAAACTCATACGACAATCAACTATCAAAATTTTGTTGCTACGACTTACTTCCTCTTCTCTATTCAAATATTCAAAAAGGTGTGATGAGTGTTTCAGCTTCTCGTCTCTCCTATTTTTTTTTCTTCAGTAATTCTATTCTTTTTTCTCAAAGGAAAAGGCTGAAAACACGTAAGTAACAATTGCTAATTAATAATTCATTATTCTATTGAAAAAAAAAAACCATGTATGCTTGTATACATTCTTTTTACTATTACTAACAAAACATTAATACTTGATAAAAATAAATGAATAAATAAATAATTTTTATTCATACATATTTATATAACAAAAATATACTTACATATTTTCTTTCTAAAATTCATTTTTTTCATCAAAATAGTTCGATATTGATACATAGAAAAAAATAATCTATCTGAATCTCTAGTCATCAAATGCGCAAACGTCTTTTTCATTAAAATTGCATAACTCAATCGATATTTTTTCTCTTCATTTTTCAAAAAAAACAATTAGTAATAAACTTCATGTTTTTGTACCCTTTTAAAGCCCACAAACGGCAAGTTTTTTTTTCTTTATATATGTGTCTTTTCTTCTTAATTGCATAACTCTCTCATCATTATCCAAATAAAATAAAAGAGAAAAACCTTGAATAACTCAAGGGTCGAGCGACAGCAATCATCGAGGGTTTTGTATTACATAAAGAAAAGAGCAAAAAGAAAACACATATAAAATGTACGTCATTTAATTTGCTACTCTATCAAATTAATGATGTGTTTATGAGATAACGGATTCTATTGAATATATTTTCATCAGTAAATTGCTCAATAATCTTATATAAAAAAAAACAAGAAAGAAAAAATTCTTTTAAGAAGTCTTATGCTACTTTATGCTGTTTTCAACTAGCGGATGACATATTATTAGCTGATTAAAAACATGATTGCTTTTTTTTGTTTGTTGAAAAAAAGGTATAGTAGCTTGAATGACATCAGGTGATTAATGTGTTAGTTGAAAACTTACGCATGGATGAGTAAATGTATACCTTTTTTTTTGAATACTGTGGTGTATACATTTAGTCTACTTTTTTCGTAATCATTATTATATCAAATGATATTTCAGCTGATTAACGTTAGGTCTATAGATAAAAAAGACAGCGACAACAACAACAAAATATACTATTGAATATTTGATTAGTTTAGAAACTTAAACCAATCGTATGCAGAGACACGATAAGAGGGCGCTACTAACTGACATGGGACAAATAAATATATTTTCAAAAAAACCTTCGATTAATTTAAATTTTTGTATTGTCGAATGTCGACTTTATATAAATTAGAGAGAAATCAGGAAATAGATAAAAAGAACAGAGAATTAATCATATGATTTATCATATGGTTTGCTGGATATTTCGTGAATACTAATAGTGACAATCAATAAAGTGAATCTTTTTTTTATAAAAATTGAATCTTACGTTTTATGTTATCGATCACACAGTTACGACTATGAATTGATATGACTAGTAGATACGAATATAATCATTTTGTTTTATTTAATATTAGCTATATGAAATTTCCCATGAGACAAATGACTTTATGTTCATTTTTTTTATAAATTAAAAAAATTAAATGTAATCATCACTATCAATATAAGAAAATATACATAAATATAAACGAATGTTCCTAGCTAAAAAATTTAATCTTGTTTATATATACATACAAAAATAATGTGTGGATTATTTTATGTATAAACAAGTAGACATATTTCAATACGACGAATAGTTACCTTGAGTATCAGGTGTGTTTTGTTTTGATTGTATTTCGTATATATTTGATACGCTGATTAGTTTGTTTTGATGTACTTTTCTGAATGACAAATGTGGTCACAATTGACAAGTGATTCTCTATACTAAATAGATCTTGATAATAATTTTCGATTGGCATGTTTAAGAAATTATAAATATCTTTTTGTACCAAAACAATTTTTTAAATCTTCAATCATGTTTTCTCTTTAAACTACGAATCAATTATTCCGTTCATAAATGAATAAAGTAAGAAAAAAAATGATCTGATTTCTTTTCCTCGTAACTTATACTTTCATATATTTTTCTTTAATTATAAATGAAAAATAAAATCATGATGTTAATTTATTTTGAAATGATAATGAAATTTTAGTTTTTTGGAAATAACCAATTAATTGCATTTGGAAATTCTCGTCTCCAAAACCATTCTGAATGTTGACCATCTGCAGCAACAATAAGTTTTAAATTACTTTGATTTTCTCTATATTCTCTTGTTGTATTTTTTAATAAATTAATCATACGTTGCATATCACTAATCATTGTTGCGCTTTCTGGTTGACCACCAACAAAATAAAGTCTTGGTGGTGAACTTTGAAAAGTATGTTTTCCAGCATAATTATAAATATCATTTGTAAACCAAAATGATGGACTAAATACTCCAATTAATCCAAAGATACTTTCATGTCGAATAGCTGCATAAAAACTACAAAGACCACCAAGTGAACTACCTAAAATAGCTGTATTTTCACGTTCAGGTTTCGTACGAAAATGTGTATTGATATATGGTCGAAGTTTGTCTACGATAAAATCTAAATAAGAATTTGCTTGACCACCACCATAATTTGAATTAGCAAATGGTGTTAATTCATTGATACGTTCCGCACCACCATTATCGATACCAACAACGATTAATTCTTGGGAAAAATTGTCAAGAGTTTCATCTATACCCCATTCACCGGAAAATGATGTACTAGCATCGAATAAATTTTGAGCATCATGTGCATAGATAACTGGATAACGTCGACTGAGATCAGTTGAATAACTTCGAGGAAGATAAATCCAAATACGACGTGTACGAGGAAGATAATTCCACATAGAAAAATTCGCATCTAAGATATATACTTGATTCGTAGCTGTAGGATTACCATTGGATTTATCAGCCCATTGTTCAACTGATAAATCGATTGATTGTGGATTGTTTGACTAAATTTCATGAGAAAAAGGTCTTTTTATTTCAAATAACATGAACTTTGACCTATTAATCCTATATAATTTGTTTTTGAAAATAAAATAAATCCTTAAGAATATATTTTGAAGATTGCCTGTAATATGATAACAAAATATATTTTTTAAGCACTGCTTAAAAAGTAATTATCACAAGAAAATAATGGTTAGGAATGTAGAATCAAGTTTTGCAAAAAAATATCAACTATTAAATTTCTATGATAAAACATCTTTTTTATTTTCTGTATTAAAAAAGTATTTGTCTAGAACCTTTTACGAATAGGTAAGTGTCTTTGATTTCATCAGCAGTGGCGGATCTAGAATTTTGGAAGTGAGGAGCGATAACTGAGTAGGGGGGGGGGGGCAACCGCCCTCCTGAATCCGCCACTGTTCGTCAGTACCTAAGCTGAATAAAAGTTTGATATACATTTTAAACTAAGATATAACGATCGATTTTCCGCTGCTATCATCTCTGCAGTTTAATCTAGTCTCATCATTCTAAATAAAACTATTTGAATACCAATGATAATTTTCTATTCGCTCTTGCTGTTCCATCTGCCCAAGTTTCTCCTGTCGCCCAACTTCCACGTGTTATTTTAAATTCAATATTTGTCAGATTTTGAAAATCAACTATTAATGATTTTGTTACACTATTAAATTCAAATTGTGGATCATTTGGTCTCCATTGATTAAATGAACTAGCCAAATATATTTTATCATTCAATGGTGTATAAAATCTTGGTAATTGTCGTAATTTAAATTGAACAGTTACACTTTCACTACAACTTAGAACTAAATATGAGATAAATTCTATGAAACAATAAAAAAAATCTTTGAATGATTTCTTACTTGTAGAAAAAATAAAAATCAATAGAAACATTCTAGTAGATATTTCGTATCAAAATAAAGTTAATCCTTTATTTTACATGCAATATATACTTTTTTTTATTTTTGTTATTCATTTGATAATGGAAGAACCAAAAGAAAAAAACAGAACAAAAAAAAACATTGACAAAAAAAAACCGTTGGTCATCTGAAGAATTCTTTTTCTTTTGTTCAGTTACGATAGATTGTACATTTTGTTTTTTTGGTAAACATAATAAAGAATAAGAAAAAAAAAAGAATTTCTAATTGATTATATACTTTATTCGATATAGAGAATAGTCAGAGAAAATTGATCTCAATACACTATATGATAATTAAGGAAAAATGAAAAGAAAAGATAAAGATAAATATACACCTGAGTATCTTCCATGGCCGTTTGATTTGATATATCTATATGTTCTATGTACATATAAACTCGTTATTTATTGATCTTTACGCATGTACAAAAAGAAAAATATTTTCAAAGAATTTCTTCACTTGAATCCATTGGTTGTATATCTTGAAGAGAACTTTGAGATTGCATTTGACTATTATCATCTTCCGTTACAGATGATGCAATATCTTCCATACCAAGTAGAAGATCTTCGTCTTTAGAATAAAGTTTATCCGCATTTTCTTTCAATTGATTATTTGCACCTTTGAAATAAAAAATTATACATATATATATATATTTAGTTTGATTATTACCTTTTGGATCAAGATCCATACTCCAAGACATATACATATATGAATAATGAAAATTTTTTAAATGTCGATGTACCTAAAAAAAATGTAATTAATTTCTGGTAGTGAATTTGATTTAAAAATCTAACATACTTTACTAAGTAAATAATATACGAGTGATTCTTTAGGTGCAATTTGTCGTAATTCTTCAAGTTCTGTCAATGCTTCATGATATCGTTCAAGATGTAATAAAAGACCAGCTCTAGAAAATAAAATTAATTTTTTTTAAGAATTGCATTATTCGAAATATGATCTACTTACTTATGAAATTTACATAGAGCATTTTTTGAATCAATTTTAAGTGCATCATTAAGTAACGTTAATGCACCTTCAGATTGATTACATTTATGTTGAGCCTAAGAATGAAATAATAATTTAAATTTTTCCATAAAAAAAAACTAATTACCACTGCTAAATGACAAATAAGATCAGGATTTGTACGATATATACTTGTTGCTTTGGTAAAATGAAATTCAGCTGATTGAAATTTTTCTTGTTTTAAATAAACCATTGCTACTCCATTCCTGATACACGAAAATCATAAAATTTATATATATTTATATCTATAATAACTTACCAAGCTTTATAACTTCGTGGATTTAATTGAATAGCTTTACGAAAACATGCCATAGCTCGTTCAAGTTCATCAATCAATGAATATTCATTGCCTAGCAATGTATATGCATAATCACATTCAGGTGCCAATTGAATTGCACGTTTAAATGCTTGAATAGCTTTATCATATTCATGATTTAAACTAAGACAATTTCCCGACGCACACCAACTCTAGATAAACACAAAAAAAAGTTTACCAACTTATCATGATAAACCGAAAATCTACTACGATATATATCATTCTATATTATATATAGATCCTAATTAGCAGTGATTAGATATTAATAAAATTTGAATTATAATGTTAGTCATTTTCGTCACGGATTATTCCGCATATTTCTCGTTCTGAACAATTCTAGAACAGTTTTTGTATAACAAGAGTAATCGAAATCAAATGCCTTTGTTATAATTCTAGTCTAAAAAGAACCTATCGAAGACTCGTTTTTTGTATATCTCTTCTAAGTCTTAGATGTCATAATTAAAACTCATTCTTCATATTTACATTAATATTGTAGTCATCACAGTGGCGTACGCAGGGGGTGGGCCGAATAGGCCCGAGCCCACCTCTAGAATTTTGCTGACGAACTTGGTCTTACAGTAGTTTCTTTTTTTACAGCTGAGCTTTAGAATAGGAGTTGATGAATAAATACTAACAATTTTAGTGAAAAATTAGATCAAAATTCTTTTCCAACAAGTTCCAGTTTCTATAGAAATGGGCCCACCCCTTAAAAAATTTCTGCGTACGCCACTGAGTCACCATAAACTTATTTCTATTTAATTACTTACAGCTGGATGTTTTCTATCAGTTTCAGTTAGTTCATGTGCTAATGTTGCTAATGCAATATCATCTTTTAAATGCCATAGAACAGTACTATAATATTCTAAACCATCGATATGATATGGAAATTTCGTTCGTAAATCTCGATAAATAAGTGATGATTTTTGATAATCATGTAAATGATAATAACAATTAGCTAAACGTAATAACACCCATGGTGTGTCGAGATGTTTTAATGAAATGGATTCAAATAATTCAATAGCTTGTCGACATTCAAATTGAGATAAATGTTGAAGACCTTGACCAAGTAATTTAAATACATTGATTATATTTTCAACAATTTCTTAAAAAAAGAAAAATAGATAAAATAAAAGTTTTGAGGAAAAAATAAAGAATTATTTGAAAACCAACCAGGTGTTCGCTGATTTGATTGACTTTTTCTTTGTCGCTCACGTTTATTTATTATTTCTGTATCCATTGAACAATTTAAACTTGTATTATTTGATCGAACTTGTGATCGTGTTGTCATTTTGTTTGGAGATTCTGACGATGATACCGGCGTTATACTTACATCTGTACATGGTGGGCGTGGTTTTGTAATACGTGTATTACGTTTTGTCGGTGCACGAATTGATTTATTTTCCTTAAAAAACAAAATATTATTGAAAAATAATTTCAAATCTTGTGGATCTACAACTATTTAATTTCGCTAAACATGATTTTTTACAATGCGAAACAGTATATCTACAATCTTGAGCATTTTATGTGAGACCCTATTGTCAGTATATTTGATTATATATTTATTTGCTTGTCAAAATTAATATTCTTCAAATCTGACAGCAATCATCAATAAAGAAAGATATGAGATAGATGTATTATTAAATTTCTCGTTCTGTGTATGACTTTAATGAGCGCAACTATTAATAAAACAGAGTATGGAATATTCTATTTTACACATACTTTTCTTGTGCTTGCTGTTTTTCTTGTCTCACTAATAGATGTTGATGCAATGTCATGTTTATGTAAAATTGTTGCTGTTGATGCTGATGTACTTGTATCATCAAAACCATACTGATGCCTATTAAAAAGAAAAAATTGTAATCGATTTTTAAAAACAAAAATTTATCTATTCATACAACATTCGTGTATTTTGTCGTTTAGGTGCTAATGGTGGATTTCGTATTGTGGGTATATAATCAGGTGGTTTTATAGTTGGTGGAGTATATTTATCATTATCTTGTAATTGTTCTGATAGTAAACCGATGGGTGTTGATGTTATAATCCCAGAAATATTTGTTGAACCAACATTGAGAATAGAATCTGTTAGTTTCATGACAGTTGCTGGAGTTTGTGATAAACGTTGTTGTGATCGTTCTTTTATAGGAAGATTTGTATTTGTATTTATTGACTAAAAAAGCGAATATTTCTCAAAAGATTTTATTTTTTATAAATATATACGAACATTTTCAATAACTTGATTTTCTGATTGAATATCTTTTATTGATTCTGTATAGGATGTATTATTAATTTGTGGTTCAGTTATTAATCGATTAGTTTTAATTGCAGATGAACAAAATATACTTGTATCAACACGTTCGCCTAAGTTAAAAAACAATAAATAAGGATTATTTATTAATTGAAAAATAAATTACCAAGTCGACATAGAGCTTCGAAAGATGACCATAGAAATGGATTAATTTTTAAAGATTTTCGATAGCATTCACTTGCTTTTTGATGACGATCTGATTTTCTAAATGAATAATACATAGTAAATATCTTCACAATTTCAAATATGTTTGAAACAGATCATAGAAGAGTCCAGTAGATATAAATTGTCTGATTGCTTGCTTGTGTGTCCGCTGGGTCAAAAAAAACATCGAAAATCGATTTTTCGAAAAAGACATCTCTAGAGGTATTTCGATGCGGGGACTTGGAATCTGGGATCTGTTGGGTGATTATGATGAAGGTGCAAAGGTCAAAAAAATATCGAAAATCTATTTTTCACGGTTTTGAATTGTTTTTTCAGTAAGTGCGAAGAGGATGCATTTCTACGAGAAAGAGCTAAGGGAGTCCTCGGACGAGCGTTACTTGTTACATAACATAGACATAAACTCAACCGAGATAGTTCTTATATTTATAATTTAATTAAGAACTCATCACACCCTTACTGATTGCAATCCTTTTTCCAAGGATGACGAAAACTTTTTTATATGATTTCAATAATGTAAAACAGAATATACTCAAGTTTGTTTTAATTACTATTTTATTACTTCTATTATGAACTCTTTAGTTTTATTGGAAATAGAATAGCACACATAAAAATATTAAGTCTTCATATCCTGACTTTTCAAGTGTCTCATCCTTCACACTACTAATTTCAAATCTCTATCAAATAAATATAATAAAAACTATATAGTTCGATTCATCTCTCTCTCTCATAATCCAAATCGAAACTAGAAAAATATAATTCTGGAATTTATATTAACGAAAAACTTACTCGCAAACTTTAGCTAATAACTGTAATGCAAATGCTGCTTGATCACCATGATCATTAATAAAATCATCTAATGCAAGTGTAGTTATCGAAGAAGAATTCCCAATAAGTACTGATTCAGCTTCATGAAGTCTTTAAACAAAATATTTAAATTTATAATTATTTTCAATATATTCGAAAACATTCTTACTTCTCAATATCAAAACAACATTTTGCTAATAGAAGTTTTGCATTAGGTACATGTTCAATTGATGAATTACGTAATAACCAATAAGATTTATTAATATCACCACTCAAATAATAAGTTCGAGCTAATAAATAAGTTGATTCATCATTTTTTACTGAAAAACAAAAAAATATTGATTTTTAATTCGAAATATATTTATTTTACCTTCTGCATAAAGACGTTCAGCAAGAAAGATTGCATCAACATAATCAAAATTTTGAATAAATTGATTGATATAAATTTTTATAGAATCGATTGTGACGGACATTCAAGAAAAGAAAAAAGGAAACGAAATCTGATTTTAAGACATTAATAAGATATCTAAAACTAAAACAAAACAAATTATTATCAATTATTATTTTAATTCAAAAAGAAAAATAAAAATATCCATCACCAATAGCACAAAAAGAAGAAAAAGAAAATTACTGTTTTGAAAGATCATTACAGATTGCTAACGGAATGAAAGAAAAAACAGATCTGTCTTTGAGTAATAAAATAGAAATTATTTTGGATTTTCACGTTTTTGTGTATTAATATTTTGACGTCGTTTACGTTCGTCTGATAAACGATTACATGCTTGTTGAATATTCATAAATGTAGCTTCAGCTTTTTGTTTTTCATCAATATCCTATAGAGAAAGAAAAATCGGATTATATTAAATAAAGTTTTTTTTTCTTTCGTACTCGATATCGATCAGGATGCCATTTACGTGATAATGTTCGACATTGGAGTTCAATTTCTTTTTGTGAAGCATCAGATTTAAGATTAAGTACCTGAAAAATTCATATGTAGAACAAACTACTGATTGCCTTCACCTTTTTTGATAATTATCTATGACCTTATTAGACATCGTACTACCGTTGATCTAGCAATAAGATAGAACTAGGTCATAATGAATAGATTTACTCAATGATACATACTATGATAGAATTAAAGTATAATAATAACTTCTTACTCTTTAATCTAACTTCCTATATTTGCTGATAGAATGTGTAAAGAAATCTGTAGGAAAACTTCTCTATAAAAAGGATTAGATCGATATTAAAGTATTAGAAATCTTGAACAAACATTTATGTTTGAGAGAAAAAAGGAATATACTGATAAATTTATTCATCTAAAAATGAAATGTAATGATGATATTTGAAATTAAACTAAACACTCGCGCTCTCGGCTAAACACTGATTGATGTGCAGAGTGCGTTAACTATATGAGATGATTGAAAATTTCTAATACAGATCTCGGTTCGTCTATTTTTGGAGTTACCGAATTCTATAAAATAAAATTTTATTTTGTCTTCATACCTCAAATGCTTGTTTATCACTTGCAGAATTCAATTCTGACCATATCTGTGTCCATATACCTTTAAAACCATATTGTAAATAAAAATTATACAATTCTTTCATGATATATGATAATTGGTTGTATAATTGTATAAATTCTTGTGATTTAAAAAAATCTGCTATAACATCTTTGATTTTAACACGTTCACCATTAATATCAACATGTAAATTTTGATAAATAGCTGATGATAATATTATTCCAAATACAATTGCACCACATCCAAGTATAAGACAACGTTTAATAATATGACGTCGTGGTTTTTTTTCCGCTTTTGTTGATGTTGAAGTAGATTCTTCTGGAAAATATTCTGGATCCCAATCAATTTTCCATTCAAATATTAAACATGAAAGAAATGCTGCGATATTAAATGATGGTGATGTATTACCATTTGTCATTAGAAATGGTATTCCAAATCCAGCACCTAATAATGGCCAAATAAACGAACATTGACGAGGACCAAGTGTACCAACTAATTGAGTGCCTAATTTAAAATCAAAACAAACGATTAAAAATCTATTTGAATTCCTTTTTTTACCAAGAGCAATAGCAATAGCTGAACAAGATGCAATAAATAATGATGGGAATGTTTTTTGTAGCCATGTATCAGGAAAAGCATAATAAGTAATACAACCATAAAAAACAGCAGTAAGAAATTGACCTTCAGTAAAAGAAATTAAATATTTTTAAAATTTTCTTTTTTTTCAATTACCACAAAATCTTATTAATTCAAAAGCTGGCGATTTTTGTTCTCGCATTTTCTGTTGATATTGATTACGTATTAGATTATCATTATTTGCTTCACGAACATAGTCTCTTATTGAAAATATGAATTCATAGAGAAGACCAATACCAAAACCACCACATGTAGTAAACCATAATAAAGCATGTTGTGTACGACCCAAATAAAGATGATGTAAACCAAAAAGACCACCGATTAATGCAAAAAAATATGCAAATCCTGTACGTTTAGTTCCACTCATGAAAAAAATTAATCTAAAGAAAATAATTTAATTAATGTTCAATAATCTCGTTTTGATACGAAATAATTTTATATTCTATTACTTTTTTTTTTTTTTTTGTACAAATGAATAGTTAAGGTCAAAAATCAGAAAGAGCAAGGTGAGAATAATATCTCGATTTTTTTTCTTTCGAGTATCGTTGGACTAATTGAACAAATGTCGCTAGAATTTTTCTTGTTATTTACATTGAATGTAGCGATTAATCTTAGTCCATTATTCATTATCGATCACATACGACATCTAACAGTATGCAATAATACGACACCCCACACATATATATCACAGAATTAAATATAATCAATTTGCTCTACTAGATTAAATTACATACTTCGATAATATTATCTCAATTAATGAAGAGTTTTCGATAAAGATCTTCCTCATTTATTAACTTAATATTTAAGTGATTCTTACTGTAACATTCTCTATTTCTTGTATTAATATAATATGATGATGATTATTATTTACTAGTGAAATGTTTTCAGTTCCGGCACGTTCTTTATTTCGAATATCATATTTTTTAATGTTTTTATTAGTGAATCATTTAACTGAATATAAACTACAAATAATAAATCACTAATTTATATCTAAAATATAAACATCAATCTGATGTTTATATTTAACTTGATTCGGAAGAAAATCAATTAAGTAATTCTATGCAAAGATTTATTGATAAACAATGATTATTATATAAGTTATTATCAATTGATGAGAATAAACATTTTTTTCTCTACCTTAACCCTTTCAGGACTAGTTTTGCTTTCACGATCAGTGTATTATTCTTAACCCTTTACGGCCGAATGTTGCCGTAGGGGGGTACGGCATTTTTTAAAAATTCGGCGGTGAAAAATTGATCCCTATAACTAAACAACAAAGAATATATAGAAAGATAACTTGTTGCTTGTTGTCTTCTGGTACCCGACCGTATAGGGTTAAACTATCTTTTTGACCGCGACTCAAAAAAATATTTTTTTTAAAAAAAAGCCTGGACCTCCCTCCAGGGTAGGTGATACATTTGTTGTAACACCGTCCTGAAAGGGTTAAACAATAATTAGAACGCTAGGAGAATTTATTTATTTTCAAATAGTATAATACGAAAAGTTTCACCATCATGTTTATTTAATCATTTATTTTATGATGCAGACTATATGACCACAACATATTTTATCTCGAACTTTTTTTTCATTAGAAAAACAAACAAAAAATAATAATAATGTATAATTATCTTACATTGTTTAATATAACTCTAAAATAATTAACTGGCATTGTTTATTTATATTGATGGCAAGTGTAAATGAGGTTTTTTTTTCATCATATCACTAGTCTTATGCTTATTTCATCAAAACCATATATATGCCGTATAATATCAATATATCGCGACATATGAGCATATACGTTAAAGAAAAGGATGTGTATATATGATGTATGTGTATATACATATATACAGTTGAAGGCGTTTGTTCACGTTTAATTTTAGATTATCATTATAATAGATATGATTGAGTGGTAGATTGTATATTTATTGATGTTATTGCCGTTAAAGAAAAGAGGAAGAAGAAAAAAAGAGAACGCTCATTTATGATGAACGGATTACAGTGTAAATTACAAACACATTTTTAAAATATGAATCAATACACACAAACGATGAGTCGATCTAACGCTATTTGATATATACAAGTTCAAGGTATGAATATATATATACTAGAATTGTACAGAAGACATTATGTTCTCATATCGATATTAAAACAGAAGAAACCTAAGAAAATGTACGTTTTCGTCATCATTATCTATTGTCAAACAAAAAAAATTTGAACTCGTAGTCGCGCCGTTAACGCTATTAAGGCTATCGTCATGTAATCCATACTCGTATATGTACATACATACATACATACATGCAGGACAATTATATGTTTAAAATTAACAAAACGCAGCTATCGATTAGTTAATGTATTTTATGTTACATTTCTCCTTGTATATATCTTTGATTCAAAGCCTTATATAGAGAATTTTTAATCCGAATTATAAATAACTTTTGTATAACTATATATATATCTTAGTCCCTCCTTCTTCTTCTTTTTTTTTGTTACATTTTTGTTATCATAAGGTTTCTTCTCTATGTGTGTATAAATATTCACAATGCTTTATTAACACTTGATAGTTTCAAGCGAGGCATTTCGAGGTTTCGATTAAGTCAAATGTTCATATGATTTTTCAAATCGAGACAAAATAAAAGAATAGAACTTTCTTTTTTTTTTCAATAAGTTGTTTTCTTTTCATCGACAAAGCACCATAACGAATTGGTCTCAATATAAAAATGAAGCAGTAACGAAGAAGACAGAGAGAAAAAAAGTGATTCTTTTCTCTTTTTTCATGGGTAGGCGGCCTCATCATCATATATGCAGTTTTGTTGTTCTGACATTTACAAAATATAATTGATCAAAAAAGAAAAAAAAAAGAAAAGAAATACTAGACAACTCATTTATCACAAAAAAAAAAAGAATTGTATTAAACCTATAACCTTTTTTTATTATTAGTTAATTTCAATTTTCATATTTAAGATATTCCATAAAATTAATTTTGTGTTTGTAACGGTAATTATTCACGATCAAATGGAAACACAGACCATCAATGCGTTTGATAGGCATCATACAATATATAATAATCGAACTTATGTTCGTACAACATATTCATCAACTAGAAATCAATTATATCATCCTTATTTAAAACCATTACCAATACCATCCGTTAATTTGTGTGATTTTCTTTTATATGAATCAAAAATAGCTGAAGATATTGGATCAGCTACATCATTATCATATATAAATAATGCTGAACATTATGATAATACATATTCACATACATATGATAATCCAATTGAATGTTTTGAAAATGTAAGTATTTATTTTTTTGATAAGATTTTCTTCTTCTATATTTTTCTTTTTCAAGTATAATATTAAACAAAGTTTAATCGATATTCCACAAACTGATGGAAAATTATCTGATAATATTAAAGATGAAACAGTGAACGATGATGAAAAATCTTCTCATAATAAATCATCTATTTTATACTATCTTGAAAATAAACGATTAGTTTTCTATGCATGTCTTATCTCTCTTCTTTTATTACTACTTATTGGTATGGGAATATTTCTACTCAATAAATTTATTCGTCCGGTTGTTGTTACTACGACTGTGAATAATCATTATGATAAAATGAATTTATCAAATACATCACCAATGTTAACAACATCTCGAGCAATAATAACTCCAACTCTTATTAAAATCTTAACACAATCATCTACAACTAAATCTGTAACAATAAGTACTATAGAAGTCGATGGTTCACCATTTTCATATTCGATGTGTCCACCTGAACATTGGGGTATCGGATGTAAAAATATCTGTAAACCATGTGGACTTGGTGTATGTCATCCAGTTACAGGTAAATGTATATGTCCAGAAGGCATTTATGGTGAATACTGTGATTTATCGAAAGGTAAATATTATCTTTCGAATTAAAAAAAAATTTATATATATTATTCATATCTATTTTAGTCAACGATAAACCAAAACGGGGCGATATGATGAGCTAAAATTCTATCATTATTGTATATATTTTTTTTGCAAAGATTTTTATTGTTTTTTATATATATGAAAAAATAAATAATATTATGAAACAATCAATGTTAATATGTACATTTATTTCGTAAAAAACACGAAATAATATGACCTTAATCAATCGATTAAATGAAATGTATATATATATAATGTTCTTATCAAATGGTTCTCGAAATATAGATCGTTTACATCATAGGCGCATTTACTTTTTTTTTAATATGATATCTATCAATGTCTATTTGATTTAAAATGAACTTGAATATGTCTATTAAAAAAGATGTCTTATCATGTATAATATGATTTATCTTATAAGAATATAACCTTGAGAAATAAAATATCTCCATTGACTAATTTAAATAATTTCAGTATTAGTTTCTTTTAATTTAAATAATAATTTGCATATTTATTTAAATCAAAAAAGAAAATAATGTTAAAAAGTATGAAAAAGTAACCTTGATTTTCCTGATTGATGTGACAAGATGAGGAGACACACAGAATGACAGAAAGAGAGGCAGAGAGAGAGAGTGAGAGAGAGAGAGAAAACCCAATGATATGGATAGCTGCACTCATTCTGGCGATGTCTCATTTTTCAACCTTCCTTTTTTTTTATTCGTTGTTGTACAGTAAGCAACCTTGCGACCTGAAGGTTTCGTATACATTCTCTTTTTCTAACATTCAGTTGTTTTAAATGTGTATACGTCTACCTTAATAGCCATGTTTTGCATCAACATAACAAGCGAATAGAGATCGTTAAGAACTAGTGTTGCTCAATGGCAAGCAGTCGACGTATGACCATTCGTGGTGTTCATTATCGCATTGAGCAACAAATCGGCCATGGTCTTCATAGTCTTGTATATGGTGGTCGAGATTTACGAAATGGTCGGCCAGTAGCTATTAAAATAATCAATTTTCTTCATGGATCATATTCTGTCAAAGCAGATACTGAATCTCGACGACAATCATATTGGAAAGAACTTCAAATGCTTTTATATTTACAACCATTAAATCCTTATATTATACGTGTATTAAATCATGATCATAATGAACGTCATGGAATTATTGTTATGGAACGTGGTGAAACACTACGTGATACACTTATGGATCATGTACTTAGTGGAAAACCATTACCACCATCTCAAGCACATAGATTTTGGTCACAAATGGTTGAATCAATTTATTATATGCATTCAATAGGAATTGTTCATGGTGATGTTAAACCTGAAAATTTCATTCAGCTTGGAGCTGATGGATCAGTTCTAAGATTGATTGATATGGGAATTAGTTTTCATTTACCACCAAATGTAACTAGTCGTTTAAAAACCGCTGCAGGCACACCAGGTAGATATGAAAAAATGATAAAATTTAGCAAAAAAAAAACGTAACTATTTTATATAGATTATGTATCTCCTGAAATGGTTAATTCTCGTATCGGTATGAGTTCACGATCAAAAACAGGTTACAAAGCTGATATATGGGCACTTGGTGTTATTCTTTTTGAAATGGCATTCGGTTATCGTCCATTACAATCTCTACGTAGTAATGAAGCAAAATTAAATTTTTTAGGTAAATTACGACGAGATATAACTATACCAAGTCATCCTGATAAACAACTACGTGATGTATTGAAACGTTGTTTACGTGCAAATCCTCGTCGACGTCCGAATGCTGAAGAAGTATTTAATCATCCGTACGTGAGCGGTAAACGTAAATAAAAAAAAAGAAGAAGATTTTCTTTTGTTACTCATTTGTACTGCTTACTATGCTTTTTGATTACTTTTTTGAAATAATTCACATTTTCATCGTTCGAATGATGGATATTTTACAGTTTAAATAATTGATTGATTACAGGTGAGATAAGCATAACTATGTTTTGCCATTTACAAATATGCAGCGTCTCTCTTTCTCTCTCTCTCTATATAAGTACATGTATGCAACCCCTTCTTTAATTTTGTTTATTCTTATGTGAAGTATGAATAATTTTCGGGTGTCAACTTGCCGATTGAAGGATAACAAAAATGTTCGTCAGTAATATGACCATGAAAATAATAAAAAAATTCAAGACCTATTAATTCAATTTAGAAAAATGAAACACTATTTGATTTATTATTAGTCTCGGTTTGAATTTATCGGAATGTTATAAACAGAATTGAAGCAAAGATTAATTTGAAGCGATGTCCTTTTTGTTTCATATACAGTATAAAAAAAAACATATCAATATAAATATATCCAGGTTGTGAGCATTATTATTGAGAAAAGAAAGTCTGTTTATATATTAACAAAAAAAAATTGATCAGATAAAATATTAATTTTTGTTTTTATATATAGTAAATAAAAATAAAAGAGTATCAGTCAATAAGAAAACTTCACACACACCAAATATTGAATAATAATTGAGATCAATATACAAAATAAAATAAAATAAGATTAATTTTCACACACACACAAACAAACAAAATAAATATTTTCATATAGTTTTTTTTCTGTTTTGTTATTCAAATGAGATTAATTTGTGATTCAAATCGACTAGAGTCAAATATCGATCAATAAGAGATATATATGATATCACAACAAGAAAAATATATAGTATTGCTTCATACACCACTAGTAAAATGTATATAATTTTCGGGAATTAAACCAGTTTTACCATTAATTGTACCAATTAGCTAAATTATGGGAAAGGGACAAAAACAAAATATCGATTTTAAAAAAATATAATATAATTACACTTACCCATCCAGATTCTCGTGATGTTCGAACTAAAAATAGAATAATTTTATTTTTTTATTTATTCTTCTTAATGTACTTTTATTAGACTCACCATCAGTTACAATTTCATTTGAATGAAATGATAATTCTGAATCATTATCAGCAGTACAAGGATATAATGTTACAGCACGAGTTTGTCTAATAAAGAAATATTTAATATACATTTTTTGTACAAAAAATTGAATAATGTACGAACGGTTTCGATGTCGGACTTGGTAGTTGAGGTGTATGTATTGATTTTATTCCTGTAGGTGAAGGACTTGTTGGTTCGATATTTGATGATGTTGAAAGATTCATACTAGTATTTGATAAACGAGTTTGACTTTCAGGTAATGAGAATTGTTTTGTAAAAGATAATGATGAAATTGAGCGTAAATGACTACTAATTCCACTGAATGGATTAGAACCTTATATAAGAAAATTATAGTATCAGAAAAAGAAAAAGTCTATTCAAAATTAATACATACTATGTAATGATTGAGTATTAGTTGATGATATATTACTAAGAGATTCCAAACTGCTACTTGAGCTAGCTATAAACAAAGAAAAATATTGAAATTATAAAAATAATTTGACACGATTTAATTGTGAGGAAAATACCAGGTAAACAAATAATTCGATTCTAGGAAACTTAGAAAAGTTGTTTTTTTGATCGTAATTGAATCATATTAGAAATGTATTAATTATTCATGTAAACAATTTTCCTGATGTTTTTCTACCCTTGAAATTTATTTATAAAACTAAGAGTATCATATTGATGTTTACGAACTAATTTATGAATTATTAAATAATTACTATTTAATTGAAAAAATATCTCAAATTTTTTTGCCTAATGTAACTTCGACATTACCTCGAATAGAAAATTCAATCTCTCATACGATTATAAATTTTGCATTTAAATACTGAACATATTGTTCTATTCAATTCTATAGAATTGTATAAATTCTCACATTCTTTTCTTGTATTGTCTTCTGCCATAGGTGGAAACAGATGTTTATTCGTTTCAGTTATATAATAATCAGGATTATATAAACCTCGTCGACGTGCATCAGCTGTTGTTTCTAACATTTCACTAGTTGGTGGTGGTGCTCGTCTTGTAATAGACTAAAAAAAAAGAATAGAATTGACCATAGTCATTCGTTTTTTTTCATAAAATTCTTACAGCTAAGGATGATAATGAAGCACTTAAATTTACAACAGCAGATTGTTCATTTTCACTTGCACCAACCATTTCATCAATATCTTGTTGTTCAAGATTTGGTTGAAACATTTTTTCATAATGTTCTATGATTAATTCAACAATAGCATTACGGAATTTAATATCATAGATAGATGAAACTGTTTCAAATTCTGGACGAAGTAATGATGGACCAAAACAAACACCTAAATTAACGGGTGTCATAAGATTTTTATCTTTATGTTGTGATACACTATAGACATAATAATAAGATTTTATTAAAAAATTATTGTTAGATTAGAAATTATTTACTTATGTAAATGTGTCATAAGAATATATAATAGTTCATAATTTTCTTTTGGTAATTCTTTTAATAAACTATGAAGTGTTCGAATACGATCAGCTTTATCATCAATCACTAAATTTATATAATATTTTTACAAACAAAGTTTATCTATGATGATTATGATCCTACTTGCAGCTTCAATAAATCGATTGTGTAGTTTAAATGTAAAAACAGGTTCTGTTAATGTTCGTAAATAGAGTTTAAGTGCTGAACATATAGTTTTTAATTCCATATCTTCTTCAACGGGTGTTGCTAGTCGTTGTGCAAGTGTTTTATGTGCATCTATAAAATAATAAAATATAGATTTTATGAATAGAGGAAATGATTTTTCGAATTACCAAAATGACCAGCAACAAGAGAATTAACCTTTGATTGCATTCCAACAATTCGATAAAGACCTTGTTCATCAAGACCACGTCGTTCAATAACTTGAATACATTTTTTAACGAAATCAATACCCGAATCATCCAATTCATCTATTTAAAAGTTGTTTATGTATTTTTGTTTTTTCTGAAATAAACTTTTACTTTGTAATTCTGTTTTCGACGATAATTGTGGTTTCGATATATTGATTTGTCCTCCACAAATAGACACCCATGCTTCAAAATCATCTTCAGTCGTTGCTTGAAATGTAAATGCAGCCATTTTATCCGATGATCCACCTTTTTCAATACCATGTAAATCAAACATAAAACGTTTGTCTACTTTTTCATCAGCTGGATGAACAAGACAATGACGAACATATACATCATACGGAATTAACTAAAATGATCAAATAAAAATATGTCTCCATACTTAGAAAAACCAGGACTCTACTCTTAGGGGTAAAATATGTCACTTTAGTGATACGATCTGAAATGTTATCCCAATGGCTACGCTAATATTCGTATCTTAATCGATATCGATTGTAATCTAAGCAACTGTAGGATAAAACTATCCTTCAAAATTCTAACGCCTTGTCAAGTCTTGAAAGTAGTTGTGTATTATTAATACCTGTTTTGTACTTGTTTGTGTAAAATTAATCATTCGAAGTAAAGCAATATCTTTTCTATATTGACAGTAATGCTTAGTTGTTGTTGTTGTACCAATAATTTTATCTGAAGAGAAAATTCTTTCAATATTTGTATATATATTTATATCTATTTTTCTATACTTCGTTCAATAAGAAATAAATAACCTTCACGATCAAATTCTTGATTTTTCAATAAATGATCTTCTGGTCGCTAGAAATTTTTTTAGAAATAAATATTTAAATTAAATTTATTTTCGTTATCTAACCATTAACATTTTCCATTTTAATTCTTCACCTTCACGTTGAAAACAATCAAAATTTTCTCGACACTAAAATAAAAGAATATATTATCATTTCCTTTTTTTTTTTAGTCTTATTACTTTTAAAACACGATGATGTAAAAATCGAATAAAATAATCAAATTCTTTATAAATTTCTTGTCCTAAAATAATTCAATATATAAATTAATCAATCTATAATAAATTAATTTATTTACCTGCATGATAAAATGATAGAAAATTGAGCATCAAAGCTAATAACTAAATAAATAGTTTGTTCAAAATAAAAACATTTATGTATATATTATATATAAATTACTGTTTCAACAAAATCAAATTTTTTTCTTTCTTGTACTTGTTGTAATAAGAAAACATATTCAAGTGTTTCTTCACGAAATTTTTTTGTTTGCATTTGAAGATTTGCATCTGCCTATATATATAATATATGAAAATGAATTAAATACAACAAAATAATCAATATAATTTACTTCTTGAAATAAATCAGATCGTTTTGTTGGAATTTTTGCATTATTTTCAATCATTGTACAATAACGTTGTGTTGTTTTATCAAACTCTTTTTTTTTATTCTAAAAACAAAAACTTTGTATTTTCTTAAATACAATAATAATTAAACAAACTTTTGCTTTTCCAATTGTTGTTTTACGAAATTCATCTAATTTTTTTAAATAAGTTTCAGATGATGCATTCTATTATAACAAAGAAAAATAATATTTATATACATAAAATTTCTTATTTATAGAATTTACGAGTGCATCTCGAGCTTCTTCTATTCGATGTAATACTTCACCCATATATGAAAGTGATGATTCTATAATATTTAAAATAAAAATTTAAACGAAAATTTTGACTATACAAACAAACCTATATCTCGTTCTTCTTCCGTTTGTTTACTGCCAACAACAAAAAATTTAAAACTTTTTAATGTTTCAGCAACACTTCGTGATGCTTTTGATAAAGCTATATTGAACAATAGGGATATACATATATTCTATTTTATTTCATAATATATAATTGAAAAACATACTCTTATTTGCTACCATAACTTCATTAAGTTTTTTAATTAATGTTTTTATAGCATTTGATGTATTCTCAAGTTCATGTTCATGTTGACGTAATTTTTCACGAAATTCAGGCGAATCTGTAAGTGCTTCGGTAAATTCAAGTGCTGGTAATTTAAGTACCATTGTGTCGTATTAATAGGAAGATAGAATATAATATTAATTAAAAACTCTTAAAAAATAAATATAAACAATATCAAAAATATATAAGACGAGAAACAAAAAATATCGACGTAAGAAATATAGAAGTTATGTTTTTTTCTTCTCACGTTTATATATATTGAATAGTAACATCCCGAAACAGAAAAGCTTGGTACAGTATGCGAACAATTATTATCAATGCAAAAAAGAAGGCAAGAGAGTAACAAGTTGGAAGGAAAGAGAAAGAATTACGGTTTGCTTCTTTCTTGCTTTCTCTCTATACTTTTTTTATGCATATAAGCCAACAACTCGTTATTGTCTCGTAACGACTGCTTGTATTCGCGTTATCAGAGAGCCCGTTAACAAAACGAGAAGCGAACAAATGGCACAGTAGTGTTTCTATGTGCGTATAGCAATTATGGACAACAAGTCGTTTGTTGCTGTCCTGCTATGATCACCTCTTCCTTTTAGATTCATGTCTTAATATATACAGACATACATACATACACACACACTAGCATCATTGTATGTCAAGCTGTGTATTTCCGATAGTATCGCATCAAAATTATACTTGTCTTAGTCTTACTTTAATCGACATGTCATGTTGATTCGGCGCATACATCCGTAATGATTATTAGGCGTCGATGGTATTACTGAATAGAAAAAAGAAGAAGAAGAAGAAAAAAAAGATTTCCACAAGTTCTACTCCCACTACTTTTGCTGACGTCAGAAATGGCCTCGAAGTCTGAGTTAGATGCACAAGATCTGTCTTCTACTTATATCTTCAATGGCAAGGCCATTCAAACAATTAGATATATTCTCATGAATTGTATAAATCAAGATCTACCAATATCAACAAACTTTCGCGAGAAATTTGTTTTCGACATTAACACATCCTATAATGTATTATGTAGCTAATCAAACTGTTTACTTATGTTGATTAAAGTATTGAGTTGTAATATAGACAGACAGCAAACAAACAAACAAACAAAACAATCTGAACTTCTTTCGAATCCTTGCCTAGAAAAAAATCAATAATGATAATTCTTACTAATTTAGATAAGCAAAATTTTCTTATGCCATCTAAAACAATGTTTTTCTAGGCCATAAAAATAAAAGAAGACAGCATATATGTATATGAAAAGTGATGATAGAGTTGCTGTGCCCAATACATATTCTTTTTTTGCTAAATATATAGATTTCTGCCGGAGAATCATCAACAGCTAACTGGAAAGCGTCACTCATCTGCTTGTCATAGACATTTAATAAAATATATAGTTACACAATATTATTCATTCTATAATAATATCAAAATTAATTCTAATTGTGTTTAGAATAACATGATATATTTGTGATTTCAATTTTATTTATTTTTTGATTTAGATTTCCATTTTATGAGAATAAAAAGTAAAAGAACAAATGAGTGATTGAAATCGATGAATCATCATATCAAACGAACTACCAATCATATAAAACATTGTATTAAATATAAAATTTTTGAAATTAAATAATCAATTCAATAATAAGTTTAAATATGAAAATAGTTAAAATTAATTTTAATAATAATTATGTCATTGAGATCAATGTTCGAAAATGTCTCATATTTGATTGGAGGATTATTTTACCTAATATATTCTATGTATGTAAACATCATCAGATCCATATTTAGTTGTTTTCTTTTTTTTCTCGTTTGTTAATAAAAATTGAATAACTTTTTTTATTTTGATTTGAAATTCAAATTTAATTTATTTTAGAAATATAAATTCCAACAATGTCTACGCCATCGGCTAAGACTGCAACATCAGGTGGTAAAGCTACCACAAAAACGACAACAACTACTGTTGTTAAAACAACCACCACAACGCAACAAACATTAGCTGGTACACGTGGTGCTGGTTCAAAAGTTCAAAAACCCCGAACAACAGCAGCTGGAAAGAAAGTTATTAATTCACATGCAAATCGTGAATTAAATAACAATGGTCTTATGCGTTTTTCACGTGGTCGTATGTTCCATCGACGTGCATTATATCGTATAAATAAATGGAAAGGTGACCAAGCCAAATTACAAGGTGATAAAACCAAAAAAACCGCTGGTAGTATTAAGAAAAGACGTTCACCAGCCCTTAAAAAGAAACCAGTTGGTGGTGATCGTAATGGAAAAGAACGTTTCGTACGATCTAAACGATTAGTATGTTGATTCGAAATTCTTTTCAATTTAGTAATTTTTTGAATAATTCTAGCCTCGTTACTATCCAACTGAAGAACGACCAAAGAAATTCTCCGTTAAACGAAAGAAATTCAGCAGTCATCCACGTCGTTTTCGATCAACACTTACACCCGGTAGTGTTGTTATTCTTGTTGCTGGTAAACATGCCGGAAAAGTAAAAAGATTCAATTGATTTTTTTTTTCATATTAATCTTAATTTATATTTATAGCGTGCCGTCGTTGTTAAACATTTATCATCTGGACTTTTATTGGTTACTGGTAAGAATTTGAATTTTATTTAGTTACAATATTAAATATTTTTTTTGCTTTAGGTCCACATAAATTAAACGGTGTACCATTACGTCGTGTCAATCAAATTTATGTTATTGGAACAAGCACCAAAATCGATTTATCAGCAGCTAAATTAGATAATTTAGATGATAAATTCTTCAAACGTGTTCGTCCAGCCAAGAAAAATGCTGAAAAAGATATTTTTGACTCTAAGAAAGAGGTAAATTAAAGTTTTTCTAATACTATAACATCATAGCGGAAGATTTAAGTGCTTGTAATACACTCGAAAGCTCTTGAAATTAAATATTATGAGTATTTTCTTAACTAATCATCTATAGATTTGGATGTTTCTTAGTCAGACACTGCTGCTGTAAATCAAATTGATCGTTCATTCTATTTAATAAACATATTTACTTGTCTTTAGTTGGCTCTGATTCATAAAAAAATTAAGCCTTCTAAACAAATACTTGCCATGTTTCAGTTATGAACGAAAAAAAAACTTTTATTCTCTTTCATTCAATTGACGTAGTGTATAATTAATATTACCCTTAAGCTTGCTATAGATTTCTTTTTAAAAAATATATCGGATAATTTTTCTTTTTCTTCTCTTTCTAGAAATCACAACTTAGCGATGAACGTCGTCAAGCACAACGTACTACCGATGCTGTTGTTCTTAATGCTATCAAAGCTAATGCTGACTCACGTCTTCTTCGTAAATATCTTAAGAGCCGTTTTCAACTTTGGAACGGTGTTTTACCACACAAATTACGATTCTAAGGAAATTAAATTAAAAACAAAAGAATAATAAAACAAAAAACAACAATATTAACAACAAATTATGATCATCGTAATATAAATATCGTTTACATATTATCGTTTTTGTTGTTTTTTGTTTTGATTTCATAATGATGAGAAACTACTTTTTCTATTTCATAGAAAAACTATGAAAAGAAAAAATAAATAAAAATAAAAATTCTAAAAAAAATTTTTGAATATTATCATTTTCTTTATTTTTAACTGTGTTTTTTTTCATCTCTTGTTTGTTAGGAACAGCAGTTGACACTTACTGGAACAAACACTTCTTGATTTCTTTTTTTACTTTCTCTCTTTTTCTTCTTCTCTTTTTCTCTTTCTCATTTTTACAGTCAGAATTGAGTTTTAAAGTGAATTAGAAGGTGAGAAACATAAGTATAATTTCATACACACATACAAATCCGTTTCTTTTTTTATCATGGATGAAATCTATCCGTTCATACCTTTACCAAAAACTCCTTCGGTACGTTCACGTCCGCCATCAACTGATGGTTCATCAAGGAGTATGAATAGATTAGGTCGTGATGTTATTCAACATTCTCTCTTGTATTGTCTTGAAAAAGGTTATTTTTGTTTAATTCGTTATTTACTGGATTCAAGTATATGCGATGCAAGAGAACGCGATAGTGAAGGTCGAACTGGTCTGATCTATTGTTGTTTTATCGATGATGACTGTTGGGCACGAAATACAGCCATGACATTACTTGAAAAAGGTGCTCAAATAGCTGATCAAGATCAATATGGACTTAATGCATTGCATTATGCTATAATAACTCAACGAACAATTCTTATACGATTATATCTCGATTCAATTGATTTTGATTTAAATCAATCAGCAGATATACATGGTAATACATGTTTACATTATGCTTGTTCAACTGGTAATGTTAATATTCTTCGAACTATTTTAAATGCAATGAAACATTATTCAATTGATTTAACAATTAAAAATCATGCTGGTTTAACTGCATATGATTTAGCATGTCAATTAGATTGTCAACGATGTCAAAATTTATTACGAAATGAAATGACATTACAAGAACGTGCAAATCTACGAAAACCATTAATTAAGCCAATGAGAATAGATCGACGTCTTTCAATATCAGATCAAATACATTCATTAACATCACCGTCACCTAGTGATAATTCAGTTGTATCTGTTCCTTTCTATGTATCAAGTTCAACAAATCTACGTAAACGTCATGATAGTACATATACACTTAAGAATGAAAATTATCGTTATCCATCAGCAAAATTAATAAATCCAATTGAATTACGTACAATGACATTTAAACGTAATGAGCATCTTGATGCATTACTTGTTAAACATGTTAAAAATCGTGCTGATTTAGCACCATCAATATTTTCAAGTGCAAGTGAAGTTTTTAATTCATCATCTATATTTACAAGTCCAAGTGATATTTTTAATTCACCATCAACATCATCATGGCGTGAAGATGTACCAAAAATTTTCGATCAATTACAAATCTTAAGATCACGTTCATATAAAAAAACTGTTCATCCACCTTTAAGTAGAGAAATATCACATGATTTGATTGAACGTATGTCTCGTATGAGTGAATTTGATCGTAGTAGATCTCAAACGATATCAGTACAACAAATGCCAACAGATGGATTACAAAAAGTTGTTCGAAAACAACGAACGAATTTAGCTAGTGTTAGAGCATTTAGTAGAACAAAAAAGACTTGATATTATTTTGTATTTGTTTGAGTGTTGTTTTTTTTTCTAGATACAAATAAAAAGAAAAGAAAAGAAATATGACAATTAAATCTGAATCCGTATGGAATTATGTTGAACCACCATCAATTGATGGTCTTATAAAAGTGACTGGTTATTTTCTTAGTTATTTTATATGTCTATTTCTTGCATCAAGATTTTTACCAAGTATTACTGCTAAAAGTCCAAAGAAAACATATCAATTAACTGGTCTTCTTCTATATTTAATATTAACAGTTTTAATTCCCATTGGTTATTATACAAATAATCTATCATTACTTTTTATCATCAGAAATTATATATCATTTTTTATCGTAATAAATATTTTTGCAATTTTATTTAGCTTATATCTTTTTAAAAGATCAGAAGCTGTACGAACTGCTCCAAATGCAAATCGTCCAATTGATTATTGGCATGGTCGTGAAAAAGATCCGATGTTATTTGGTGTTGATTTAAAAGTTTTTTTCTATCAACCAAGTCTTTTAGGATTAGCATTAGTTAATTTAAGTTTAGCTGAAGCTCAATTAACTTTATATGGTGCATTTACACCAGGAATGATTTGTTATCAAGTTTTTTGGTATCTCTATTTATTAACACATTATATTCGGGAAGATTTCATGTTATGGACATTTGATATTATTGAAGATCATTTTGGCTTTATGCTTGTTTGGGGTGATCTTATTTATGTACCATTTCTTTATAGTATTGCTGGATGGTTTGTTGCTGATAATGTTCAACAACCTTTATCAATGACTTGGATGGCTTGCACATTAATTCTTCATTTTACTGGTCATTATATATTTCGTGAATCAAATTGGCAAAAATTTGATGTAAGAAAATATGGTTCCGATGTTAAAATTTGGGGAAAAAAAGTTCAACTTCTTGAAGGGCGTCTTCTCTTATCAGGTTTTTGGGGTATTGGTAGACATTTAAATTACACCGGTGAAATTCTTTTATATTTATCAATTGCATTATGTTCTGGTACAATATCATATGTTCCGTACATATTACCTTTTTCACTTTTTATTCTTTTATCACAACGTGCCAGCCGTGATGATCAACGTTGTCGAAAGAAATATGGTGATAAAACATGGAATCGTTATTGTCAACATGCAAAATTTCGTATGATTCCATTTATTTATTAAACAAAACAAACTCTAATTATTCACAAAAAAAAACAAAACTGTGATTGTCTTTCTTTCTTACTTACTTTTTTTTTATACTAAATAAATTTCATTAATTGGTCTTAATAAACTTATTATAGATAGTGTACGAAAAATAAATATATATAAAATTGGATCGAATAAATACGATAATAATTGAGTATAATATACAATCATTCGAATTTGTTTATATTCAGTTGGTATATGTAATAATATTAAAAGTAAAATGTTAAAACAAGACCAAATAAGAATAATATAAGATGAATATTGAAATCGAGTTTTTTCTTCTAATAGATCAATTGAAAATATTTTCGATATTCGATTTTTAATACTTATCATGTATTGTCGATGAGATATTATTAATATGATAAATGGTATAATACAAATAAATGTTAATATAAAGAATGTATATGAATAATTATATGTATAATTTACAATGCAAATTTGTAAAGTTTTATCATATTTAATTGATGCCCATTCATTACTTATACTTGGTAATGTAAATAAACATAAACACATAAAAATAAATATAAGTAAATAGAAAATTCGTTGATATGTTATTGTTTGCCAATAATTTTCGAGTAGAAAACAAAAATGCCAAAGAAGATATAAACATATTATTAAATGTAAATGAAAAACTGTTAAAACATGTAGAAAAAAACCTTGATAAATACAAATATTCGTTGAATTTATAATTAAATTTGGATAAAATTTTGGAAATATATATACTAATCCTAAACAGAACCAATTTGTTATTAATAAACATATTACTAATAGAAGACTAAATGAATGAATTTTTTTATGTAAAATTTCTTTTTTCTCAACACTGTAATTCGATATTAATGAAGACTGTTTATCAAATGTTTCTTCATTTAATGATGATGTATCACCTATAATTTGAAAAAAAGCATAACTTTATTTCTATAACTTTCAAAATCGACTAACTTGAATTTATCTTTTTAGAACATTGGTTTATAAAGATATATTTATAATCAAACATTGTTGTAATGAAAAATATGACATGAAGAAGAAGATTGACAAATAAATATGATAAACCGATGATCATGATTAATTCATTGTCATTCATTTGATTTATAGATATATATGTATGTGTCTAGAAATGATAAGGTATTATCTACAATAGAGATGAAAAAAATATCTCGTTTCTCATATAATATATAAATAGCAAGTGTTCCCATGTGAGATATCATTTTCTTTTCGATATAAGCCCTGATCATAATAAATAAGGATAGAAAAAAGAAACTGATTAGATTCGATTTGTTATTGTTTATAATAATAATAATCGATATTATTAATCAAAAGGTGTATTTTGTTTCTAATTATTATTAGTATGTGACATAGGGGAAAACAGTGTGCATGAAAAATTTGTAAACAACTTTCATTCAAATATAAATAAAACTAGAATATGTGACTCTATGGTTTGAAAATTGAGTAACGCATGAGTAATTATTTCCACTTCTTCGTCGTTTTCTACAACTATCAATTATATTTACAAAAACAACTATCATTCGTTTTTATTTTTACTTTCTTATTTATAATCCCAAAGAAGATGTACGAACACAATTTAATCTACAAATCTTCTGAGAATTACACTTTCCTATCGTGATTACTTTACCTTTATATTTTTAGATATTTTAACAAGTACTAACACCTATAGATATTAATCAAATAACATTTAAACGAAAGAAAATCATTACCTTTCAATCAGAATAATAAAATATTCGAAAAGAAAAGGAAAAGGTTGTTGTTAGGTAGTTTCTTTTTTATTATTATTATTAGTGTTGTTATGGGAAGAGTATCGATGTTCGTTATTTTTTTATTACGATTCTCTTTATGATAGGAAGGTATAGAGAAATGAAAAAGGTATGTAGAATCATAAAAATGAAATAATTTACTTCTATGTGAACATTAACAAGTATTATATTAATGTCTACATTTTTTTTCACTTTGCCTCAAACAAAAAAAAAGAACCTTTTGAAAGAAGAAGAAGAAGAAAAAAGACTAAAGTGGACCTTTCGACATACTTGACAAACCTTGAACTCTGAAAAGTAGGAAATTGCATTACTACTGTATATGATATCATTATTCTTTTCTATCATCATTAACACTTTAAGATAAGTACTAGAAATAGTGCATGTTGTTCATCACTTATACATAATCTAAAGATATGTGATATAAGACTATTTATAAATAGATATGCATGACGTAATCATTGAGAAGAATATTTATAAAGGTGAATATATATTGTTTTTCTTTGCAAGGTAAAATTTATTAGTAATGTACACATCATTTATTGAATTCGATAGAATATTATTATTTACATAACTTTGTTTATCTTTATTAAATTAATCAACGAATGAAATAAGATTAACAAGTATTATAAATTAATAGCTTCAGTGATGATATATAGAATCAATCGATTCGATAAGAAATGTATCATAAAAAACAGTTTTTTGTTAAGGCTATTTTTCTATGTGAATTATCCAATAAATAGTCATATAATAATGATTTTAACGATATGACACACAGACAATGAGTCAGACAATATTAAGTACTGGCTGTCTCATGGACCAAGTATATGATGTGATAGATCAATAATGATAGACAGTACGAATATTCGATGATCATTTGACACGAGATATACATATTTTATTGATGAGGGAAGTTTAGTCCTTATTGATAAACACAGAAAGATCAGAGAGTGCATGTAATTACTGAACCTATATTGTAAATCAATATTAAGAGAAATTCAAGTATATGATTTTTAAATAGAAAAAACACTTCAACGAAATCAAAAATGATTATTGACCTTCAGATGTCTGCTGACTAATACTTAGAAAAATAAGAGTTAATCAAACAAGTATATTTATTTAAAAAGGGTACAAATTAAATGACCAATAAAAGGTGAGCATGGATCAAGGGGTAAAGAGCGAAACCTGGAATCCAAAACAGTTTTCTGGAATCCTCGGAAATTCGGAGTTCGTTCTTTCCCCCTTGGTATAGATGCAGTTAATAACAAAACTATTGGGAGACAGTTTTTAATGATGGAGAAAATATTAAGTTTTGCGTCATAGTCAAACTATTTGATGGAATAGAAATTTTATTGAAGCAAAAAATTTATAATGATTGCTGGTAGATTAAATAAACAAAAGCAAAATATATATATATATATTAAAATGAACATGTCATATTTTGTAAATGCCAGGATTGTGTATCTCGTCCAAGAGCACAATATTCACTATCAAGTCGCATTATTGTACCATTAATACGTAATTGATTATTGCATTGTGATTCAGCTTTAATATTCCATACATTTGATGAAAGAAGATAATCTTTTCCTTGTCCACCTTCATTATCATTATCACCAGATATAAGTGTAGCTGGTAGAGTAACACTAAATGAAACATTTTTTCTTTCATTTAAAACAACAATATCAATTAGGAATAGATCATTAATTGTTCCTTTAAAAATGCCTGTTTTCCAATTAAATTTCGGTAATTCATGTAATTCCGGTCCTAATTCTTTCGCCATATCTGTTATACGTAGAAGTTCAATAAGACGTGTATTCGAATTTATTAATCGACAATTAAGAAATCGATGTCGAAGAAATATTGTTGTCATATTTCGAAAACAAATAAAAACTGATACTTCAATATCATTTGATTTTGGAAAATGATTTGGTATCATCATATGTGATAAAGATTTATTATTTGTTAATGTTGTTAAACGAAGACCAGTAAAAAATAATTCATGAAATGATAAATAATTTATATTAAAAACAAGAAAAGCAAATGATTTATCTTGTTCATAATAACCTATTAAAAGGTCATCTTCATTTGATAATCTTGATATACGAATAGACGATTTAATATCATTTGTTAATGATATTGATTTTTTTTCAAATAAATTCCAATCGAACGTATATTCATGTAATAATGATTGAATTTGTTGTGTATGTTGAATAGGTTTTTGTGTTACATCAGATAATTGTTCATTTTCTTTTGGTAAACGTGTACGATTTGGACGTGTATTGATATTAATTGAAACAATAGAAAAAAGACGAAGATAACGTACACGTGTTAATAATTCCGGTTTTGTAATTTCAAACCAACGAATTGACATACTTACTTCAAAAAATTTGATTGTTTCACATTTTTGAGACCAAATTACATTATGTTTATCATCACAAAATGCAAGAAGAAATTTAAATTGTTGAGAGAATTTTGTAAATATTTTTTCATAATTAGGTATACCAGTATAGGATTTTAATACATCAAATTTAGTAGAAAAAAGAGTTTTTAATTGTGTATTTATTTGTTGATTTAAATATGCTTGTATACGTTGTTTATTTGTCAATGTTGATGTTACTTGATGAAGACCATAGGAAAATACTAATGAACGCCAAAGACTTTCATCTTGTGAGATTGAATGCCTAATATAAGAGAGAAAAAAATGAGTAAAGATATTAGGTAAAGAATATATTTACCATCGTCGACAAATAATACCGATTTTAAGTAAATCAATGGGTGATAAATAACGAAATATATATAGAAGTATGTCATCGGGTAATTCATTAATTTCAATTTTTTTCGGAACTACATAACGAGGTTTGGTAGCATTTGGTAAAGGAAATATTGTCGTCTTTTTATTTGTAGTCGTACTATTTATAGATTGATTTGAAGACGTACTACGTCTAATTGGTTTTAAATGCGACATTTTTCAAAACAAAATAACTTCTTTATTTTCTTTTAAGTTCATTTCATTTCATTTCTTATGTTTACTCGTTGGCAACGATTTCTCTACATTCATTCTATATCTACAGATGGCATAAGTCGACATACTAATATAGTTAATTTTTTAAACAAGAGCTTATAGATACAATTTGGAAAGAATTGGTTTCATTTTTTTAGCCGTACTTTATACAGGTATTTTCATATGTGTAATGTTAAAATAAGATGACGTTGTATATAAATATATAATTATGCACTTTAATCTTTACTCCGGTACATTGCATCGCTGTATAATATAACAGCTATTATACTATGAGTCTCTCTCTACATTCTCTTTCACCTGTTTTGATATGCCTATACTGTTATCGCTCTTATTATCGTAATATATCGTCATAAAAAGATAGTTATTGATCATAAGCGAAGGACAATAGAATGAAATAGGAGCGTAATATGGATATAACTTATATTTTTTCTATTGTTTAAGGTAAACTTCGGAAGCGGGGGAAGGACTCTTAGCTACCCTTCCCCAAATTCATACGCCTCCCGAGAACACTTTATTTTTCGGATACGGTTTGTGCATTCCGTATTTTACCCACAGCTCTCTATCATTGTTTTTGTACTTAACGTGATGCCCACGCCACAGTCACCTTATTATTTTCACCTACACACACATATATCTTTTCTATTATTTACATGTTAAGATCGAAATATTCTCTTTCTATTCTGAATAAACTAAAGATGTCTTCTTTAGTCGACACATAGACAACATCTTAATAGAATATTTCCATGCGATTTATTTTTTTTCTTCTTTCATTCTACAATCTTTGATGAGTCATATTCGGGTTTTAGGCAAGATGTTAATTTCTTTCTATTGTCATTTTTCAGTCGAGTGTTGTTCAATAAAACAAATTATTGTTTCTCTTATTCCGTCCGATATGTAAATGTTGCCAATCACTTATAAGACTATTCTTTTCTAAGATTGTGATTGTACTTATCTTTTATTTTTCAGATCAACTATAAACATGTCAACGAAAGCAATTTATGAAGCAACTGGTAAAAAACTTTTAAATAAATATCTCGGTTCAACAGCAGCTGAATGTCGATGTGTTAGTATTGATGCTGATACAGATTGGAATGAACTTGTCGCTAAAAATACTTGGTTGAACACGGAGGTAAGAGCAAATTTTAATATCAAAGAAAAGCTTCTTTTTTTTTCTTTAGCGTTTAGTTGCTAAACCTGATCAATTGATCAAACGACGTGGAAAACTTGGTTTAATCAAAGGTAATGTTGATCTTCAAGGTGCAAAAGATTTTATTCAACAAAATCTTAATAAAGAAATTTCTGTAAGTTTACACAAAAAGAAGATTTTATTTAAAAAATATATTTTTTGTTATTAATTCAGATTGGACATACAAATGGAAAATTGAAACATTTTATTATTGAACCATATATTAATCATGAAAATGCAGATGAAATGTATATATGTATTTATTCTAATCGAGAAGGTGAAGTAATACTATTTCATCACGAAGGTGGAATTGATATTGGTGATGTTGATTCTAAATCATTAAAATATTCCATTAAAATTGATGATCCATTCGATGTTAAAACAATGGAAAGTACTTTATTAAAAAATGTATCAAATGATCGTCGATCGTAAGTTTAAAGTTTTATTAAATATCGACTATATCCTATTCTTCTAGACATTTATCAACATTTATAACAAAATTATTTGAAGTTTACATGGATTTACAATTTACATATTTAGAAATAAATCCATTAGTTGTTACACCAAAATCTATCTTCATACTTGATTTAGCTAGTCGTCTTGATCAAACAGCAGATTATTTATGTGCTCCAAAATGGGGAAAAATTGAATTTCCACCACCATTTGGTCGAGATGCTTTTGCTGAAGTATTTCTTACATTTATTTGAGTATATAGCTTATTTTATTTTGTTCTTGAATTGATTTTAGGAAGCTTATATTGCTGAACTCGATGCAAAATCAGGAGCATCATTAAAATTAACCGTTCTCAATCCAAAAGGTCGCGTATGGACAATGGTTGCTGGTGGTGGTGCATCTGTTATCTATAGGTTAATAAACCCATTTTAGTTTTCTTATTAAATTTGTATATCGATGTATTTTATTTATTTAGTGATACTATATGTGATTTAGGTTTTTCACATGAATTAGCTAATTATGGTGAATATTCCGGTGCACCAAGTGAACAGCAAACATATGAATATGCTAAAACAATTTTATCATTAATGAGCAAAGAAAAACATTCAGATGGAAAAGTTCTTATTATTGGTGGTGGTATTGCTAATTTTACTAATGTTGCAGCAACATTTAAAGTTAGTTTAAAATAGATTTAAAGATGATATATAATTTATTGTATGTAGGGAATTGTTAAAGCATTACAAGAATATCGTGAACGTTTAATTGAACATAAAATATCGATTTTTGTACGACGAGCTGGTCCAAATTATCAAGAAGGATTACGTGTTATGCGTGAAGTTGGTTCATCATTAGGTGTTCCTGTTCATGTATTTGGTCCTGAAACTCATATGACAGCTGTTGTTGGCATGGCACTTGGTAAGAAATCATCTTTACTAGTTTATTCATTATGAATATATATATATATTTCATTTATTTAGGTAAACGTCCGATTGTTGCACCTGAACAATCTGAATTGACAACAGCCAATTTCTTACTTCCTACTAGTGTTAATGTAAGTATAAATATAGAATTAAATATAATCAAATAGAATCGATTTCTTTATAGCAACCATTAACACATGTTAATGAACAAGATAAAAAATCAAATACTTCTATTGAAAATCAATCAAAAATGCAGAATGGAAGTACTATGGCCAATGGTACTAGTTCAACATCAACACATAATCAAGAAAATGGAGTAGACAAAGATGTAAATCGTCCACTTTTTACAAATACAACTAAAGCTATTGTGTGGGGCATGCAAACTAAAGTATATTATTTTAAAATAGATGATAATATGAATACATATTTTATTTCATTTTAGGCTGTACAAGGAATGTTAGATTTTGATCATGTATGTCATCGTAAACAACCATCTGTTGTTGCTATGATTTATCCATTTACTGGTGATCATCAACAAAAATTTTATTGGGGTCATGAAGAAATTCTTATTCCATGTTATAAAAATATGGCAGATTGTATGAAACGACATTCTGATGCTGATGTATTAATTAATTTTGCCTCATTACGATCAGCCTATGAAAGTACAGTTGAAACAATGAAATATTCTCAAGTAATTAAAGAGAATCATTACTTATAAATATTATACATATATATATATGTTTATTACAGATTCGTGTAATTGCAATTATTGCTGAAGGTATTCCTGAACAATATACACGACGTATGATAAGATTAGCACATGAAAAAGGTGTATTTCTTATTGGACCAGCAACTGTAAATAAATATTAAAGATCAAAAAAATTCTAATATAAATTTGAAATCATTTAGGTTGGTGGTTTAAAAGCAGGTTGTTTCAAAATTGGTCATACTGGTGGTATGCTTGATAATATTCTTATGTCAAAACTTTATCGACCTGGAAGGTAATTAGAAATAATGATATGGTATTTAAGAAAAAAACAAATATTCATTTTAGTGTTGCATATGTTTCTCGTTCTGGTGGCATGTCCAATGAATTAAATAATATAATTTGTCGAAATTCAGATGGTGTTTATGAAGGTATTGCAATTGGTGGAGATCGGTATGTTGAATGTTTTTTTTCAATTACGTATAACATATTGATTTATTTTAGTTATCCCGGTACAACATTTACTGATCATATTTTCCGTTATGAAAATGATCCTGAAGCAAAAGTTATTGTACTTCTTGGCGAGGTTGGTGGTATTGAAGAATATTATATTTGTGATGCAATTAAATCTAAACGTATTACTAAACCATTAATTGCTTGGTGTATTGGTACATGTTCATCCATGTTTACATCTGAAGTTCAATTTGGTCATGCTGGTTCACATGCTGATAATGATGGAGAAACTGCAGTAGCAAAAAATAAAGCTTTGAAAGCAGCTGGCGCTCATGTACCAAATAGTTTTGATGAACTCGGAGATTTAATTCAGTAAGAAAGTTAAAGAAAAATTTGTATTCGAAATTTATTTAAAATATTTCAGTACGGTATTTAATAAACTTGTACAATCAGGACAGATCACACCTAAACCCGATGTATTACCACCATCAGTACCAATGGATTATGATTGGGCTCGAGTATGATGAGATAAAGATTGTAAGATTCATAATTATAATTTGTCTCTTATAGGAACTTGGTTTAATCCGTAAACCAGCTAGTTTTATGACTAGTATTGTCGATGATCGTGGTCAAGAAGTATTATATGCTGGTATGCCAATTACGGAAGTTATCAAAGAAGATATGGGTATTGGAGGTGTACTTAGTTTACTTTGGTTTCGAACACGGTTTGTTTCTAATAATAAAATTTTTATTCAAGTATTAATAAAATTAATTATTTTAGTTTACCAAAATATGCTACAAAATTTCTTGAAATGATTCTTATGGTTACAGCTGATCATGGACCAGCAGTTAGTGGTGCACATAATACTATTGTATGCGCACGTGCTGGAAAAGATCTTGTATCATGTTTAGCTTCAGGATTATTAACAATTGTAAGAGAAAAGAATTCTTTGTTTTTTAACGATTTTTCTAAATTTCTAAATGTAGGGTGATCGATTTGGTGGTGCACTTGATGATGCTGCTAAACAATTTAGTTCAGCATATGATACTGGTTTACATCCAGCTGATTTTGTGAATAAAATGCGTAAAGAAGGACAACTTATTATGGGTATTGGACATCGAGTTAAATCGGTAAAAAAAGAAAATTAGTTTTTTAGAAAATTTTAATTCTTTTTTATTCATATTTAGTTAAATAATCCTGATATGCGTGTTGTTCTTCTTATACAATATGTTAAAGAACATTTTCCAACAACACCATTACTTGATTATGCACTTGAAGTAGAAAAAATAACTGTTAGCAAGAAACCAAATTTAATTTTAAATGTTGATGGATGTATTGGTGTAGCAATGGTCGATCTCTTACGTAATTGTGGTTGTTTTACACTTGAAGAATCAGCAGAATTTATTGAAAATGGTGCACTCAATGGTCTTTTTGTTCTTGGAAGAAGTTTAGGTTTTATTGGTCATTTTCTTGATCAGAAACGTCTTCGACAAGGTCTTTATCGTCATCCTTGGGATGATATTTCTTATATTTTACCAGAAGCTATGTAAAACAAGCAAATATTCATTTTTTTTTATCAATTTTAGTTTTTTTAACATTTATCACATATTATTTTATTTCATAATGTGCGTTTTTTTAGTGTAATAAAAACAACAATATAGGACAGTAAAATTATTTTGAATTTAAAAAAAATGGACGGATAATAATTGATTTATCAGACATAATTATCATTTCGAATTATTTGATTTTTCATCTTTTGCCATTTCAACAAGCATTTCACACATAGGTTTATGTTTAGACCAATGTTTGACTTGGCATTCACTAAACAGAGATAGAGTAATTACATAGAAGTAGGTATATATTTTCTTACCGTCGACAATACCATTCACGTTGACATCGTGAACAACGTTTCGTAGCTTGTTCACCACACATGGCACATTTAGGTGCTTCGTTAATAAATGTTTCGAGGACATCAAAATTCATTGTATTTGCCCATCTAGTAAAAATATATGTATTACGAGAGGATTCATAAATAAAAATCTACCGTGCGGCTTGTTGTTGTGCTTCGGCTTTTGTTGGATTTAAAACTGTTTTAGCTTGTTTTTCGGCTACATCACGCCATTGATTTTTATATTTTCGTATTATCCGATCGTATAATTCGGCAACCTAGAATTATTCTTTATTTTTATAACTATTCTAATCATTTTTTGTCGTTACCTGTTCTAAAACAAGTTGTTTTTTAACAGCTGGTGGTTCCATAAAACTTAATTGTTCAAGAAAACGTTGCATTTGAATAAGATGAGGCATTTGATCGAGAACAACTTCATTGAGATGAGCACGTAATTTAGTAATACGATTTTTATTATAATCTGTATATTCATATTTTTGTAAACAATGTGGACTAAGTAATAATTGATATAATGCTAACCAAACTTGTCCTTCAATTTTTGGCATTAAATAACGATCTTCATGAGATATTTTTTGCCATTTACCATCGATATGTCGCGTAAATGTCCCTAAAAAAATCCATAAATCAAAATTTATTGACACAAATCGGTAGATTTCATACCATCGCTAAGTAATTTTTCCCATGGTTTTACTTCAATAAAATCAACAAGTAATAGAATAAAATCAAAATTATCAAGTAAACGTGTGGTTACACTCATGGGTAATCTAATAAATAATTATTATTATTTATAAACAAATGAATAGAATAATGTAACCTACTTTTGTAAACAATCGCAAATATAACGAACGATACTTAGCATTTTCATTCCCATATCAAATCGAAGAGTTTCTTCTTGTGTTAAAAGTTCCTAAAGTAAAATTGAAATCAAATTTTATTTCTTAAAATTCTTTTACTTTAATATTCTCTGAATTTTCATTTGATACATTCTCATTATTAGTTATTTGTTTATGACGAGTTCGTTGTTCTCTAAATAATTTATTTATTAAACAAAAAAATCTATTTCTTTTTATTCATACTCATGTTTTATTTTTCGTATAATTTCCGTTAATATCCGATAACTATAATCAACAAGATCGAGTATTTGATCATCGAATGCAGTACAAACATCTTCATGATACATTAATGTTTCTAATAAATTAACCAGAGATGCTTCATGATAAAACTTCAATACAGAAAAAAAAATGATGAAAGAAATTATTTCTTTTTATCATACTATGATATAAATTGAAAAAGTAACTTGTGGTTCAAATTTCATTGCAACAAGTTCACGAAAAATTCTTTCTCGCCAAATTTCCGTTGTTATCAATTGTGAAACAAGAATAGGAAGCTTATCATTATTTACTATAACATCTCGTACATATTCATGTATATTCCGACTTGCTTCAAGTATCGCTTGCATATTTAATTTTTCGATATATTCATGTTGTGTTTGCCATCTTAAAACAAAACAAATAATTTTTATTTCGTAGTTTAATTCCTACCGTGGTTTTCCTATATCTTCAAGTTCAAATGATTCTAATGCTTCAATAAATGCATCGACTTCTGTTGAAAGTAAAACAATTTGATCGTCACTCATCTAAAATATATAGTCAATAATTTTATTTATTTAAAAAAAAATTATATGTATAGCTTTATATATCCCTAATTAATAAAAAATAATATTTAGCACGAAATATTTTTGCACTTTATACAAAGTGAGAGAGATTAGCATTATTTTTATATGGATTTATCAAGTTTTTCAATTGGATTTTGTTTATCATCATTATTTTTCGTTTCATCAATTTCTTTGGTTAAACGTAATTCTTTTTCATAACGAATTAATTGAAGAAAAAAAGCTAAATTGGGTGAAGCCACACGACGTCGTTCAACTAAATAATCATAAGCTTTATAGAGTGAATCATGATGATATCTATAATAAAAAAAGAGAATACAGAAAATAGAATAAAAATTTTTCTTATGAATTACTTCATTAAATATGCAAGTACAATTGTTGATGAAC